TACCACGATCTCACAGAATACCGGCGTGAAGTGGAAGCTCTGCTTCCGCGTTTCGTCTGGTGAGTGCAGGTGACCGGAGGCCCAATTCCCCCCCCCCCCCATCAACATGGTAGCGGAATTACATCATAAACTACCCCAGGAGGGTACCAGTACCCCTGAAGAATCCCTCGCTGAGCATCCACGACCATGCTATTCCACTCCTGAGCTTGGGTGCTCAGCTGCCCCGCGTATTCTGGAGGGGGGGGGGGGAAATTCCGCTCAACACAATAACTGCCCGGGGCAAACTGAGCAACAAGACCAAGGCGACCCCTGCCACGCTATCCGTGAATTTCTGCAACATCAGGGGACTTCACTCGAAACTAAACGCCGTCCACTACCATCTCAAGACGGCGAAGCCGGCCTTGCTCTTTCTGACCGAGACGCAGGTGTCCTCTCCGGCTGATACTTCGTATGTCTCCTACCCGGGGTACAAATTGGAGCACTCCTTTGTGCCTCGGGCTGGAGTTTGCGTGTATGTCAAAGAGGACATCTGTTCTCGACGCCTCGGCAGCCTTGAAGGGTCGGACCTGTCCATCCTTTGACTACGCATAGACAGCGACGACTATCCGCGCGTCTACGTGTGCGTCTATAGGTCCCATAGCGGTAATACCGAAGCAGACCGACTTATCGACCACGTCCAAATGGCTACAGATTCCTTGCTACAACAGGCCCCTACCGCAGAGATCGTGATCCTTGGCGATTTTAACGCCCACCACGGCGAATGGCTCGGTTCACGTTTAACCGATCATGCGGGGAGATCTGTTTATGACTTTGCCTTGGCATATGGTCTGACACAACTGGTTACATCGCCTACGCGGATTCCAGATGTTGAGGATCATACGCCTTCCCTGTTGGACCTTCTGCTGACCTCTCATTCAGACGGATATCAGGTTTCCGTCGATGCCCCTCTTGGCTCTTCGGACCATTGTCTGATCCGGAGTGTGGTGCCACTCACGCTCCCCTCGCGGTTGCGTTCTGCAGATTGCCGCCGTGTTTGGCATTACAAGTCGGCGGATTGGGACGGAATGCGGTCTTTCTTTGCTTCCTACCCATGGGGGCGGGTTTGCTTCTCGCCGGATGATCCGAGCGCTGTTGCTGACTCTGTCACTGATGTGGTGCTACAGGAAATGGAACTATTTATTCCATCATCTGTGGTACCCATCGGAGGCAGATCTCAGCCTTGGTTTGGTCGCTCCCATAAGACTGCTTTACGCAGTGAGCAGGAATTTTATCAAGCCTGGGCTGCAGCTTCGGCGACTCGGGATGTAAACACCAGCATACTTAAAAAGAAGTATAACTTCGTCCCCAGGTCCTTAAAAAGAGTTATTGCCAAGGCAAAGTCAGAGCACATAGGCAGAATTGGCGAGAAACTAGTTCGCCTTCCTTCGGGAACCCGTGCATTCTGGTCTCTCGCCAAGGCTGTCCAAGGGAATTTCTGTAAGCCATCACTACCATCTCTGCACTGGGAGGACGACTCACTGGCCCACGACGCAAAAGAGAAAGCCGACCTTTTGGGCTCCCTTTTTGCGTCCAACTCGACTGTTGATGACGGGGGGAACACACCGCCGACCATCCCGCGGTGTGAGTGCTCGATGTCGGATTTGCGGTTCTCACAAAGCTCGGTTCGCAGAGCACTCCTCTCCCTTGACATCCACAAGTCGAGTGGGCCTGACGGAATCCCCCCAATTGTGCTGAGGACATGTGCTCCGGAGTTGGCACCGGTTCTAACGCGTCTTTTCCGGTACTCCTACTTCCTAGACGTAGTCCCGAAAACATGGTAGACAACTTTTGTCCACCCGATCCCTAAAAAAGGCGACCGCTCAGACCCGTCCAACTACAGGCCTATCGCCATCACCCCCTTGTTCTCCAAAATAATGGAATCCGTTATAAACTGCCAGCTCATGCGGTACCTTGAGGATCACCAGCTGATTAGTGACCGCCAGTACGGTTTTCGTCGGGGTCGATTAGCTGGTGATCTTCTGGTCTACTTAACTCATAGATGGGCGGAGGCAGTAGAGTCCAAGGGGGAGGCATTGGCCGTTAGTTTGGACATTACGAAGGCCTTCGATCGGGTTTGGCACAAAGCGCTTCTTTCGAAGCTCCCTTCCTATGGGCTTCCTGAGAAATTATGCAATTGGATCACCAGCTTTCTTGCAGATTGGAGCATCAAGGTCGTTGTAGACGGTGCATACTCCGACTACAAGCCTATTAACGCATTCCACCAACAAAGCCATTCCACAAGGCTGCGTGCTATCACCAACACTGTTTCTTCTGCATATCAATGATATGTTGCAAACTGGTAGCATTCATTGCTATGCGGATGACAGCACTGGTGATGTCTGGTACTCGGTGATGATTTCTCGGGAAAACGTCACCGAGTACCGGAACAGACTTGTGTCTGAAGTAGAGTCTTTGCTGGACAAAGTCTCGGATTGGGGGCGACTAAATCTAATCCAGTTTAATCCTCAGAAGACACAAGTTTGCGCGTTTACCGCTAAAAAGAACCCCTTTGTCGTATCTCCTCAGTTTCAAGGCACTCCCCTTGTTGCCTCAGCCAGTATCGGAATCCTCGGCGTCGATATATCGAGTGACGTGCAGTTTCGTGGTCACTTGGAAGAGAAGGCCAAATTGGCCTCTAAAAAGCTTGGCGTGCTCAGCAGAGCGGGACAGTATTTCATACCAGCTCAACGCCTGCAACTTTACAAGGCGCAGGTTCGGCCTCACATGGAATACTGTTCCCATCTCTGGGCTGGGGCTCCCCAGTGCCAGCTCCTTCCACTTGACCGCATCCAGCGCAGAGCGGCTCGAATCGTCGACGACCGAGTCCTTTCCGATCGGCTCGACTCATTGGCACTGCGAAGAGATGTTGCATCTCTTTGCATTTTCTTTCGCATTTACCATGGGGAGTGCTCTGAGGAATTGTTCGGATTAATCCCAGCCGCCAAATTTCATGAACGCACATCGCGGCAGAACTCCCGATACCATCTACACCATCTGGATGATTGGTGGTCCACCACTGTGCGATTTAGAAAATGTTTTCTTCCTCGCACAACTTCCTTGTGGAATAGTTTGCCACCAGCGATTTTTCCGGACCGATACGACTTAGGGACCTTCAAGAAAAGAGCCTACTCCTTTTTAAAAGGCCGGCAACGCATCTGCAATTCCCCTGGTGTTGCGGTTGTTCATGGGCGGCGGTAGTCACTTACCATCAGGTGAGCCGCATGCTCGTTTGCCCCCTCTCCTATAAAAAAAATTACATAGCCTTAGCAAATTGATAATTTCCTATTGCATCCCAATCTGGGGAGGAGCCACCAAGAACAACTTTTTATATCTGGATAGAGCACAGAGGTCACTTATAAAGGTCATATATTTCAAACCTTATAGATTCTCTACTAACACCCTATATCAGATTAGTAAAGTTCTCTCATTTAAAAAGCTTTATGTTCTAAACCTCATTCTAAAATGTCATAAATCCCTACCGTTTAATGAATCCCTTCAATAAAGAGAACTGATGTTGTGGCCCCTATACCTCTTGTACGTACTGTCTTTGCTATTAGACTGTACCAATATCAGTCTGCTTTTATATATAATAAATTTAATAAAATACTTAAAATATACATATCCAATCCAATTAAATATATGTATGCAAAAAAACTTTAATGCCACAGTTGCATACAGTTACTTATGACGAGGTTGAAAACCTTTTAAATAGAATTGTCTGAAATCTATCTCACCAACATCTTATATTTACAGATAACAGTCTAACAGTATGCTGTCTTGCATATATGATCAGCAAAATTTTATTTTATAATAATATTTTAAACTAGTTGTCTTGCAAAATATAATAATATTTTGCAAGACAACTAGTCTTCTTACTTATGCTTTCTTCATCCACCAACACATACACACCCACATCATACAAACAACTACACTCTTACACTCACATTCAGATACTCCTTAATATACACATACTAATTACAAATTCTCTAGAGGTTAAACTTTTTGTAATCTTACATTTTTGTAATCCTTAAGGGAAGTAGCGGGTCATTCTCAACACGAGTATACCCTGATTACTCATTGGGAAGTTTCTGCAATATATTGTTAACAAGATTACCGAAATAAACGCATTATTTATTTATTATATAATAATCAAAGGATTGTTTTAAATTAATGCTAAATACTTATTAGTTTACTTTTTCGTTTTAGGCGGTCCTTACCCTAAACAGACTATCCACCAAAACTATGCTCGTAATAAAAATGAAATATACCATACCATAACTTTTACCTAATCTATTTGCTTACGGTTGGCTTCGCAGCCTAAAAAATTATTTCACTTTAACTAAAAAAAAAAAAACAGAACAAAGTAAATATGAGCCATAGGGCTCTCGCCCTAAATTTCATATATATTTATTAGTATGTGAGTAAAATGAGTTCGAATTACGCAGACTCCAATGTCTGCGTAATTCGTTTTACTCATTGTTAGTTGCTGATTTACTAAATGGCTCTGCGGTGAAGGAAAGATCGTGAGGACAACCTCGAAGGCATCTGAAATCTGTCAACATGCACTGAACAGCGCGATATCCATAAATCTCTCAGAAATTAAGTAAGTAAGCATGTAGTTTTTACGAAAAATTGAAACAAAAAGCTTTTGTTTAATATCTATTTACATTTATTTACTTATAATTCATGTTATAACGATATGATCTACATTCAAACAATCACCGACATATTTAATTATTACAAATAAAAAAATATCAAATTTATTTTAGCACTGGCCTAAAACACTTAATGAACAAAAATCCATTTCACAAGGTGCAAGCAGCCAGCACTCAACACTATCAGAAAAAACTATTGACGACGTGGTTTCTTCTTTCGCGCCCTTTTCCTAGGACTCTATGGTCCCACGATGGGCGTGGTTGTGTGTGTCAGAAGAAATGTAAATACGAATGAGTGTGTGTGTGTCATGTCCTTCTTCGTTTTGCTGGTGTTGTTGCAGGCGGAGTTGAGGTGTTGGCACGTCGACGGCCTCGACGAGATACGCTGTCCTCATCTAAAAGAGGGGAATCCCATGCTGTGCAAAAATAATAATTTTGTAATAATTACAATATTGTAGAATGAAACCAACTTTCGAGGATATTATCAATTTTAATACAAAAAAAAAGATAAAATACATATGTAAGCTCGCTTGGATACTGTGATAGACAAACAAGTGCAATCACAACACGCCTAAACCCAGCAATAATGTTTGCATAAAATCTGCTCAACTGATATTCAAGCTCAGAAGTTATGATAACCAGTTACTCAATAATCAGATTCGTTTAAGGAAAGTATTGCCGAAATAAGGATGCATGGAAAAATATTAAAAAAAAATACTACTATACCTGCTACTGACGAAACTTTTGACTTGTTGGTTTTATCTCTTTGTGATATTGACTTTCTATGGATTGAGCTGTCACGAGGTCCCGAAGCATTCGAATCCCTTGAATCACGTCGGCGATCTATTAAATAACAGAAAAACAGGAATAAGTATAAGAACTTAGATCTGTAGGTGTTAGCACTCCTTTTCTGCATGGTCCGTCCGACTACCCTCATTACCTATTTCTACCGCCAAGGAACTATCGGACTGAATATATCGGTCTGGATCAAAGATTTATATGTATACTAGACCGGCAATTTAGGACAAAAACTGTGTCACAGATAAGGATCGCGTGGGCACGCTTGTGGGCGGTTAACTGGCACGGTATATATGCCACGCAATTGTATTTTGAATTACGATAGTTACTGTTTTAGACAAATACGAAATACAGTTACATACTTATCGGAAATAAACTTGAAATCACGTGGACAAAGTGCACACATAAATAATGACAGCATTTTCTTAGTCACATAAAACAAAAAGTTAAATTTTCGAAAACAATGTTCGCGGTTTACAAAACAGAGAATTAACGGTGGTAGAGCCACGCGGCAGTTTTTGCTGTTGCACGCATGGGCCGGCTCGAGCCGGGTTGGTACCACGACCTCACAGAATACCGGCGTGAAGTAGAAGCTCTACTTCTGCGTTTCGTCTGGTGCGTGCAGGTGGCCGGAGGCCCAATTCCCCCCCCCCCCCCCCCCCATCCACATGGTAGCGTGGTAGCGGAATTACACGAAAGACTACCCCAGGAGGGTACCAGCACCCCTGGAGAATCCCTCGCTGAGAATCCACGACCATGTTATTCCACTCCTGAGCAGGCTGCCTCGCGTATTCTGGGGGGGGGGTCAAAATTCCGCTCAAAATCATAACTGCTCGGGGCAAACTGAGCAACAATCCCAAGGCGACCCCTGCCACGCTATCAGTGAATTTCTGCAACATCAGGAAACTTCACTCGAACCTAAACGCCGTCTACTACCATCTCGAGACGGCGAAGTCGACCTTGCTCTTTCTGACCGAGACGCAGGTGTCCTCTCCGGCTGATACTTCGTATCTCTCCTATCCGGGATACAAATTGGAGCACTCCTTTGTGCCTCGGGCTGGAGTTTGCGTGTATGTCAGAGAAGACATCTGTTCTCGACGCCTCGGCAGTCTTGAAGGTTCGGACCTGTCCATCCTTTGGCTACGCGTAGACAGCGACGACCATCCGCGCGTCTACGGGTGCCACTATAGGTCCCATAGCGGTAATGCCGAAACAGACCGACCCATCGACCACGTCCAAATGGCTACAGATTCCTTGCTACAACAGGTCCCATCCGCAGAGATCGTGATCCTTGCGATTTTAACGCTCACCACGCCGAATGGTTCGGTTGACGTTTAACCGATCATGCGGGGAGATCTGTTTATGACTTTGCCTTGGCATATGGTCTGACACAACTGGTTACTTCGCCCACGCGGATTCCAGATGTGGAGGATCATACACCTTCCCTGTTGGACCTTCTGCTGACCTCTCATCCGAACGGACATCAGGTTTCCATCGATGCGCCTCTCGGCTCTTCGGACCATTGTCTAATCCGGAGTCTGGTGCCACTCACGCTCTCCTCGCAGTTGCGTTCTGCAGGTTGCCGCCGTATTTGGCATTACATGTCGGCGGATTGGGACGGAATGGGGTCTTTCTTTGCATCCTACCCATGTTTGCTTCTCGCCGGATGATCCCAGCGCTGTTGCTGACTCTGTCACTGATGTGGTGCTACAGGGAATGGAACTATTTATTCCATCATCTGTGGTACCCATCGGCGGCAGATCTCCGGCCTTGGTTTGGTCGCTCCTGTAAGACTGCATTACGTAGTAAGCAGGAGTGTTACCAAGCCTGGGCTGCGGCTTCGACGACTCGGGATGTAAACACCAGCACACTTAAAAAGAAGTATAACTTCGCCTCCAGGTCCTTCAAATAGTTATTGCCAAGGCAAAGTCAGAGCACATAGAGAGAATTAGCGAGAAACTAGTTCGCCTTCCTTCGGGAACCCGTGCATTCTGGTCTCCCGCCAAGGCTATCCAAGGGAATTTCTGTAAGCCATAACTACCATCTCTGCACAGGGAGGACGATTCACTGGCCCATGCCGCAAAAGACAAAGCCGACTTTTTAGGCTCCCTTTTTGCGTCCAACTCGACTCTTGATGACGGGGGGAAAACACCGCCGACCATCCCGCGGTGCGAGTGCTCCATGCCAGATGTGCTGTTCTCACAGCGCACGGTTCGCAAAGCACTCCTCTCCCTGGACATCCAGAAGTCGAGTGGGCCTGACGGAATCCCCCCAATTGTGCTGAGGACGTGTGCTCCGGAGTTGGCACCGGTCCTAACGCGTCTTTTCCGGTACTCCTACTCCCAGGCCTAGTCCCAAATTCATGGAAGAGAGCTTTTGTCCACCCGATCCCTAAAAAAGGCGACCGCTCAGACCCATCCAAGTATAAGCCTATCGCCATCACCCCCTTGTTCTCCAAAATAATGGAATCCATTATTAACTGCCAGCTCATGCGGTAACTTGAGGATCACCAGCTGATTAGTGACCGCCAATACGGTTTTCGTCGGAGTCAATCAGCTGGTGATCTTCTGGTCTACCTGACCCATAGATGGGCGGAGGCAGTAGAGTCCAAGGGGGAGGCGCTGGCCGTTAGTTTGGACATTGCGAAGGCCTTTGATCGGGTTTGGCACAAAGCGCTTCTTTCGAAGCTCCCTTCCTATTGGCTTCCCGAGAAATCGTGCAATTGGATCACCAGCTTCCTTGCAGATCGGTGCATCAAGGTCGTTGAGGACGGTGCACGCTCCGACTACAAGCCTATTAACCTTTTGACCGCCACGCCAAAAACGCATAACCGTGTCCTGTAAACAAAAATACCTACGAAAATAATAGTGTTGCCAAGAGATGATATATCGATAACACAAAATAACTTGTTTTTGTTGGTTTTTTATGCAGTAAATTACTCTTTATAATCTGGTATGTTTTATTAAATCTTGCGCTGTCTTGTACATAAATAAAAAGCAAACAATATCAATAAAATAGTAGTAAACCGCAGCACTACTCTCCATCGTAATGACGTCACTGTCACGACTGGACGACAACGGCGTAGCTGACTTTCCTTTTTAAAACTTTCTTAGAGATGTAGCCGTTTCGCACGTTGTGTATCGATTTCGAAATCGATCTAACCAAAATATATAGACATCGAATTAAAATATTTTATTTGTCGGGGGAGGCGTAGGCCAAGTGAAGCACAGAAGAAAAGTCTAACGCTTTTATGACAATGGGGGCGACATATCAAATATGACGCTGATGCTGCCAGATGATTTTGAGATTGAGGAAGAAAATCGCACAACACAAAATGAAAAATTGCTCTTCATACCTTAAGTAAAAAAAAAACACATTTATTATTTGTAATTTTATATTATTAAAATAAAAAACGATACATAATTATTCACTAATCAACAATTGTATATACTCGCACTAGGTAAATCAGTCAGAATCGTTCATGTTGCACTGCACTACTTTTCCCGCTAATCACCTATGACGTCATCAGGGTGTCGTCTATCCTTGACCACGGCGCCCAGTGAACTGATTTTCGATGACTGTTGAGATAGTTGAGATATTAGATTTATTATACGAAGATGATTTGATAATATTTTTTTATACAACTATAGACGACTTTGGCGTGCTGGACATAGTATTTGCTTAGATAAAAATCCATTTTTTTAGTTCAATGTTTCTTGATACGTGTTCTTTATACTCACATTTTGCAGCGTTATTCTTTTTTGAGGAGTGTGGAATTAAAATACCAGTAATAATTTTCCAATATCTATATTTCATATTTTTGTGGGCCGGGTTTTATTCAACTATAGACGTCGTTAGCGCTCAGGGCCCACAGATGCTTGTCAAGTATAGGCGACTTTGGCGGTCAAAAGGTTAACGCTGGTGTTCCACAAGGCTGTGTGCTATCACCAATGCTGTTTCTTCTGCATATCAATGATATGTTGCTAACTGATAACATTCATTGCTATGCGGATGACAGCACTGGTGATGCTCTATACACCGGCCGTGCCAATATTTCTCGGGAAAACGTCGCCGAGTACCGGAACAAACTTGTGTCTGAAGTCGAGTCTTTGCTGAACAAAGTCTCGGATTGAGGCGACTAAATCTAGTCCAGTTTAATCCTCAGAAGACACAAGTTTGCGCGTTTACCGCTAAAAAGAACCCCTTTGTCGTATCTCCTCAGTTTTAAGGCACACCCCTTCTTGCCTCATCGGAATGCCAGTATCGGAATCCTCGGAGTCGACATATCGAGTGACGTGCAGTTTCGTAGTCACTGGGAAAAGAAGGCCAAATTGGCCTCTAAAAAGCTTGGCGTGCTCAGCAGAGCGGGACAGTATTTCATGCCGGCACACCGCCTGCAACTTTACAAGGCGCAGGTTCGGCCTCACATAAAATACTGTTCCTATCTCTGCGCAGGAGCTCCCCAGTGCCAGCTCCTTCCACATGACCGCATCCAGCGCAGAGCGGCTCGAATCGTCGACGACCGAGTCCTTTCCGATCGGCTCGATTCATTGGCACTGCGAAGAGATGTTGCTTCCCTTTGCATTTTCTTTCGCATCTACCACGGGGAGTGCTCTGAGGAATTGTTCGGATTAATCCCAACCGCCAAATTTCACATCCGCACCATCTGAATGATTGACGGTCCACCACTGTGCGATTTAGATGTTTTCTTCCTCGCACGACTTCCTTGTAGAATCGATTACCATCAGCGATTTTTCCGGACCGATACGACTTAGGGACCTTAAAGAAAAGAGCCTACTCCTTTTTAAAAGGGCGGCAACGCATCTGCAATTCCCTCCCTGATGTTGCAGTTGTTCATGGCCGGCGGTAGTCACTTACCATCAGGTGAGCCACATGCTCATTTGCCCCCTCTCCTATAAAAAAGAAAAGTAGTCTTCTCGCCCGCTCGCAGTCGTCTAAAAGAGATAATGAGAATTGACCGTAACTTGACGCTCAATGTATTAAGGGCGCAAAGCCCCACTAGTAGTCTACATAGAAGTCTTTGGTCTGAACAGTACAATGTATCTCTTATCCTTATTTTTTAAAGATAGTTACGCGTGTCCATGGGCACATTCAAGCTAAAGACTATGAATGTTGCTACCCAGAGGCCTTAGTTGGAACGCTTACAGTCTGTAATTATAGTGGATCTGTATACATATTAGACTGGATACTTTTATATACTATTTGCCTTTAGAAATAGGTAAGATAGTGGTATCACAAGCGGACAGCTAGGGAGAAACAACACAGACAGAACAACAGAAACTGGTTAAAGCAGGGCTTCCCAAACTTATTTTTACTGTGACGCCCTTGGGAATTTGCCACTTTTTAGCGACGCCCCTTCTCTGGCCAAAATGTACCTACCAGTTGTAATTCTAACCTAATAACAAGATACCAGAAAAACTGCAAACATTCATTTTAACAAAAATGAAAAGAGATACTTTGTTGGCAGGCTACTAATGAGAAGGATGTGCTTGCTTTTTGAGCATAGCTTTTCAAAACGTAGCTCAAGTTTGGAAATTGCCACTCTCATCTCTTTCTCTACATTTATTTTCGATCTGTACTTGTTCTTTATTACTGCAACTGCAGAAAAGCCTGTTTCGCACAAGTACGATGTCGCAAATGGTAATAGAACCCTCAATGCTGCATAGCTGATGGCACGTTATTCGTGAGAAACTGAGCTCCAAAATTCAAGCAGTTTGTCTTTGTCGTATTCGAGCTTAAGGCTGGAGTCACAGGACAATTCTATTAATTGTTCTTCTTCCTTTGTCGAAAGTGTTGATGGTGAGGTCGACTGGAAAGGGTTTCTACCCATTGCTTTGCCATTGCTCCAGATTTTCGGGAAAATAGTTTTCAAAATGTTCGCTTAATGCTGTGTAAATATTAGTTTTAGAGAGGGATCAAGTTTTCTTGTAGAATGCATTGTAAAGCAGGGAAACAGTCCGTATGTACATGATCTTCTTCGAATTTTCTCTTCAATAAGAGCAACTTCTGCTGAAACCCAGTGATTTTATCTGCCAGTTGCAGTATGTGAGTATTGTTTCCCTGCAAGGACTTATTAAGATTATTTAATTTCTGAAATATGTCACGGAGATATGCCAATTTTATTATAAACTCTGTACTAATAAAGTTTTGCACATCATTGTGTGATTCTGTCTGTAGATAAGTATAGAACTCATTTCGTAGTTCGTATACACGTGCGAGTGAGTACATTGCCTTTGGACAACCAACGAGTTGCAATAATAAATTAAAGAAGTATGCTCGGCACCCAATTCTTCACAAAACTTATAGAAAAATCTTGCTTTTACTGGTCGTGTTTTAATGTAGTTCACCACTTTGATAATCATATCCATCACAAAATTTAATTCAGGTGTAATTTTCTTTGCAGCTAAAGCCTATCTATGTATGACACAGTGTGTCCATTTTACATTTGGAGCCTTGGTTTTGATGAGAGCATGTAGTCCTCCATACTGTCCAGACATCGCTCGAGCACCATCCATACACACACCCACACAGTTTTCCTATTTAATATTATTTTCGATCATGTATGAATTTAAGATCTCAAATAGATCAGTAGCCTTACCACTTTTACATATTTTTCTGCAAAATAACAAATCCTCACACACGTTTGTTTCTTGTATGTACGGCATGTAACATATCAATTGAGCATCGTCATTACTATCCGTCGCTTCATCAAGTTGAATGGCAAATAAGACTAAAAGTTTCTCCACAATTTGCTCATTAATATTGTTACGAGCTTGGGGTTCGAGATAATTAAAAACTGCCGAGTGAATCACCAAAATTGACTATTTAATTACACAACACTAAACAACTTAAAATCACACTAATAATAAAACACAGTTCGCCGTTATTTCGCTTCGAAGTATTCTCTTGTATCGCCAATTCAATACTGCCCCGGTCGTGGTCTATACCGGCCTTATATAGGGCCTCAGATAGTTTCCAGAACCTTCTACTGTAGCGACATCTAGAATGTTCGAGTACATATCGGTCCCGAAATTTCTGGAAGGATCTTGACTCTCCTAGTTCTGCTACTCGACACTAGAGGGCGCTAGTGTAACTAGTGTTGCCATGTACAAGATATTAATAGTGGCGCGCAACACTTTCTTTTACTCGACACTAGAGGGCGCTAGTGTAACTAGTGTTGCCATGTACAAGACATTAATAGTGGCGCGCAACAATATCTTCTGCCATGTCATGAATACGGCGGCTAATCGTATTATTTGAAAGAAGTACATTTTTTATTTCTTTAGCCGCCGATTCTCCAATTATCACTGATACGATATCAACCGCTGCAGGTAAAATCAGTACCTCAGCAATTGAATGTGGCTTCTTACATTTGGCAATACGGTGAGCTACCTTGTAGGAGGCAAGCAATGCTTTGGTAGGAACTGATGCTCTTAAAAGCAAAGCTGTGGACTGATATTTCAGTTCTAGCAATTTTCTAACAACAAAATCTCTCGGCTGACCTTGTATATAACTGTGAGTTGTTTCTAAGTGACGTTTTAGTTTATTAGGAAGCATACTTTCCGCTGCCAACACTTTATGGCAAACAACATATTGAGGAAGTTCTACATTTTCTTTAGTAATGTAGGTAAATCTGAAATCCAAATACTGGTCGTCATATTTTCTATACTTCTTCCGTTTTTTTAAAGTTTCTTTACTGCTTTCTCCTGAGTATTCACTTCGTTTTCTATTTCTTTGAGTAAGTCGTAATTAAACAAAACAAAAGCTTGACTGACTGAAACGACATGTATACGCGGGGGAAAGGGAAATACACGAACGGAGGTCGACGCCGGCGCCGGCCGGCCGCCCGCGAAAAACAGAACAGAATACGAATGCGCGCGGCGCTCATTCGACTCGGTCGCATCGACACAGCCAATCTGTAGACGCCTCACGACGAACCACGGATAGAGCCGCGACGCCCCGAGGCGTCGCGACGCACATTTAGGCAAGCCCTGGATTAAAGGTTAAAAAAATGCCCTTAACCTGCGCCTTACACCTTTGCCGCTGCTGTCGTCACCGGTCTTCGCATTTTGTGTCTGGCGTAAACACGACGGTTATACCAACATCTACAGGATGTCATAATTTTTTTTTTGTCATATTCTACAGTCACCTCTTACGCGATACCTACGGGACTAAATGGAGTGGTGGAGCCATTAGACCATCTAAAATCGTAATTACATACCATAATCCTTCTCAGACTTGATGCTTGGTGTGTCAGTTGAAGCATGTGAGCTTCCACTCTCCTTTCTTGTTTTTGTAGCCAACGCACTTATGCTGTCCTTGCGTCCTATAAAAGGTGACAACTTTTTGGTCAGGAGTGTACAAATATGATATTTTAAAAACGATTACTCTCATTAATAATAAATTTAAAAGCATAAAGACGCTCTCTCTCTTTTCACTTAACGAAAATAGAAAGAGACAGCTATAGAAATAATTAATGCTTATAAGTAAGGCCATGAGATAAACTAACATCTACTCGTACATGTGCCATGTCCTAAGTTTCACTGTAACCATTTAAAAGGCTTGTCGTAATCCTGGCGAATCGCATAAACATGTCACATGCAGTAATTCGAAATTTTGGAGTATCTGCATAGGCGCAACCTAGTAACTAGGATTTTACACCAGGAGCTCGCTTTGAATGAAAGTTTCATGGATTGTAGATTACAATAAGAATCCAAAAGAGGCGTTCGAAAATAACCGTACCAGGTTCTAGCCAGACCGGATCTTCACTTTGATGGATTAGGTACATTTGAAAATATTTTAATGGACATTATCCTAACTTAGTGAAACCCAAATATATGCAGGCAAAACACTATCTGACTATAAGTCAGATTCGTCACTTTAAAAAAAAAGGCCATTTCTAAATCCAGAAATTTCTAAAACTGTTGTGATTGCACAAATTTTGGATTTGGTTGGAATTCAAATCTTGTGAAGGGCATTTAGACTAACAGGCCATGCGAACATCCATGATATACAAAATATACAAACATATCATCATCATTATCATCAAGATTAAATCCCTTCACAAGTATACAGTTGAAAATAGGTCTCTTCCAAGTAATACCAGAAAGCATGGTCCAGAGCCATCCATCGACTTTCTGCATGTCTTAACAGATAGTCACTCCATCTAGTGGGGGCTGAAGAAAGAATACAAGTAATAGTCTATACCACTGAAATATTAAAATACTGACATTGTTGTTTACTACACAATTCTGCCCTTATAGTAGATCTAAGGCCACAAACTCCAGTTTCACACCAGGGTCACTCCCAACTTTGCCATTTTGTCATAATTTTAAACAATAACAATAAACAAAGCCAAATTTTATACTATAGGACTACGTAGGATTTGTGATATTATAAACAATCATGAAAATAAAAATAAAATGTGATTAAATAAGGATAGCATTAAAAACATACCTTTGGGAATTCCGTCTTTAGATGTTGTACCTCTTGAAGTACTTTTGGGTGTTGAAGTTTTTGGTGATGGACTTCGACCATCTAAAAAAATAAACATAATATACTTTTAATGGATTTAAAGCAATTGCATAAAAATTTAAATTGTTATTTTGATAGTTAACTCACTAAATGTAGAACCCTATGATATCCCTTTTTTATATAAACAAATATTTTTAAAAAGAAAATAGAAAGTCATGACTATGCATTAACATTTATATACATAAAGCATGGTTCCCCTTAATACTTTATGATGTTCTACCACGGGACATTCTACATTCTGTAAATTTTCCCTTTGTTCCCTATATTCACTCCTGGAACACTGTAATTTTATTTACTAGGAATGTCCATTCTGCAGACAAAATTGGGGCTGAGTTATTTATTATATAATTTAAACATTATTTTAAAAGATAAGGAATATTTGATTCTGGAAATATGAAATAGCATAAATGATAGTTTAACATAAATTAGTTATTTTTATAATTTGACCAAATTTTTTATCTATTTTAGTCCAACTCATTAAAATCTGGTAAAATCTTATTATCAATCACTAAAAAAAAGTGTGCAGTTGACATGATGTGGTAAAAGTGAAAGCTTCAGAAAATTGTGAGTAAAATTGCTTTGCAATAGCACCATCTACTTCATTCTATAGGTAAAGTCATTTAATTGAACAAAAATTGTTTGACTCCCAAGGTGGTACGTAAAATAGACGCTAGATGGCCTGAACACAACTAATTTAATATAATATTTTATCTCATTCTCTCACGCTCTAAATCCTATAGATGTATAAGTTTGTCTCTTTTTAGTGGCGCTTTTTCGTTTCATCGACTTCCAAATCGCAATGATTCTAAAAAAGTTTGCATATTTTCTATAGGCGTAATTGTTTATGTATTTTATAAAAATTGAAGTAAGACTATATTCTCACATAATCACAGTATTTTGTAATTACATCTTAACATTAATAGAGTATATTAGGTCTCTTACATTATATTATGACTTAAATTATCTAAGTTATATCGACCCTTATGTTAATTTACCAACATCTAAAATTACTAATCTGTGTTTTACATCACAATTAATTGCATCAAAGCCCTTACCCTCATTAATTCCACTCAAGTAATGTTAATGTTTAAAAATTAAACATCAACATTAATTAAATTAACATTAACATAGTAATGTGCTTGCGCTACAATAACCGATAGAAAAATCAAATAATTGAATTCCTTGTGTGCAATTGTTTCACATAACACATGAAAATAAGGTTAAAAGTCTAGCAAAAAAAATTAAGAAACAAATGGTAACAAAATGATAAAAAGAGATGATGGCAAAAAAAGAAAACAAAACCTAGAAACAGGCATATAACACAAAAAATATTTCAGGAAAGGCTTTTTCTTATGAGCAAAAATGCCTTAGTGGCAAAAAAATAATAAAAGCAAAGATTTAACAAACATTTAATTACAGAATGATTCATGTTTAGAGAATAAGTCTGTATGGGAATGTTATAAAATTTTAAAAAGGCTACTTGATTATTACTGGTTGTTAACTAGGAAAAGGAAATGGTTGGATGGTGCAGCGCCGGAGACTTAGCAGCTCAAAATAGATACAGAAATCCTTCTGAATCAGTCCCCCTATTTTTTTATGATGAAAGGGATTTTTTTCTCATAAAATGGATTTATATTTACATTATAAATGCAAACATAAAAAATATAGATATTTTAGAAATCAATTTTTTGTGAATCGATACATCAGCTTACGATTTGAATAGATTTAAAAATCGACCTTTTTCGGAAAGAATTGACAACCCTACTGACTATGACAATACAAAATAGCGTCAATTTACGAATTGACATAAATAATGCAAAAATAGTTGAATGTTGAAACTTTGCGTATGTGCTTATAATAATGTAACCTTTGTGTAAAAAAAATATCAACCTCCAACTCGACGGACGTCAATGGAAAGCTAAGCCGTGCAATGCCCTAAACCTGAAGTATAAAACGTAAAAGAATAAAAATCGAGGGATTCGAAAATCAGTTACTAAGAAAACACTTGACACTAGTCAAACATACATTTTGTAAGCACCACCATGCTGACAATAAATAATCCCATCAATATAGTCACAAACATTCAGCCGCCTTTTATATCCCCAAAGGTTTTTGGACAATAGTTCCATGTACTCCTGGTCTGAAGAGTACCACACTGAGTATAACTAAACAAAACAAAATTAAACTGCCATTTACATTCAATGGCATCTCACATGATAGATGAAGAGTTTTAAAAATAGATTGAGATATCAGAAGTATTAATAAGTTCAACAATCTTTTATCTTTCTGACAATGTGCTTTTTATATCATCATTTTATACATAGTATAATATGATTGCTAGATATGTTTTTATGCAACATAACGTTGGAATCTTAATTTTTAAGCTCTAGCAGAACATACCTGCAAGCTTCGTGCTTACGGCAATAATGCTCCCATTAGTAATGATGGATTAATATTGACGGGATCATGACAAGCATCACATATATATGGACAGCTATTCAATTCTTAGCATTACAAAGGTATAGGTATAGGAATGCTTTTTTTTTCATATAAAATTTACATAGATTATATATATATGTAGATATAGATGAAAATTGTAACTATTTCTACCTCCATCACTGTCATCAGCTAGTATAGCTTCTTTACACCTTTGTTTAATAAGGGCGCCAAACTCACTATCAGGTAAACTGAAAGGAACTTCACTATTTGGAAAAGGTATTGGCTCTGTATCCTCCAGCATTGACATGTCATAAAGTGTCTCAAGATGTTTCCAAATATCGTGCGTGGATATTTCTTTCGTTATAGAATTTGATAATTTTTCCCAAATGCAAGCCATATGAAAATGTTTGTTTATTCCAACCGGCTTATGATTTGCCATTGCGTAAAATAATTGTATTTCCATTTCCACATCCCATTCTACTGTGTCCCCCGTTTTAATATCAGATTCTTCTTCACTAGAAACCATTTTCAAATAAAAATAAACAAATAATTTACGTTACAAAAACAATTTATCATGAAATTTGACATCATAGATATTAGTTTGACTTTGACATTGACATTTTAGGGTTCCGTAGTTACACAACCAGGAACCCTTATAGTTTCGTTATGTCCATCCATCCGTCCGTCCGCGGTTTTACTCGGAGACCCTAGGTGCTACATATCCGTAATTTGGCATAGTTATAGATATTAATCACGCCTAGAAAGCTGTGAAATAAAATCTTAAATAACATTTTTATTATGGGTACTTCCCATACAAGTAAATGGAGGATGATGTTTTTTATCAGTCTATTCCATAGTGTGGGGTATCGTTGGATAGCTCTCAAAAACATTGGGGGTGTGGAACAACATAATTTTGATTCACTAGTCCGTTTGCGTAATATTTAGACTTAAAGTGGTAAAATTTTCATTAGAGCGATGTGCCCACCCTTTACTAACTAATGTTTTTGGAAATGTGAAAGTATACAACATAGTAACATATATAATTAAGTTAAAAGGGAAACTATCACAGCTAAGCAGAATTAAGAAGTTGATGAGTAATGTAGTATACTTACCTCTTTGTTATAATATACAACCTTATTCATAATTGCTATAAACGAAGATATCTGTCATCCTAAAAATATTATTACTTGTCAATGAATTTTGTCTTTATAATGTATGTAATCTTTTATGTTGAATAAAACCAAATATCCATTGGTTTTGACTTTCTTTATCAATTTATTCAACATAAAATTGTTTTAAAATGTCGATAAACGATGCAAGCTGTTCTTCTTCGGAAATAAACACGATGTCGCGATTTCTTCGACCAGACCGGTTTGATGTCGAACCTGAAACACCGGCAGCAGACCTAAAATGGAGCCACTGGCGGTATACATTTTCAAATTTTTTATGCCACGAACAATCAAATCAGATTTCAGATTCAACTAAGTTAAAATTGCTCATCAACCATTTGTCGCCGACAGTCTATTCACTAATACGTGACTGTTCTTCTTATGTGACTGCCATTCAATTGCTTGATAGCATTTATATAAAGGCTAAAAATGAAATACATGCACGATATACTCTAGCAACCAGAAAACAAAAGCCCGAGGAGTCTATTACTGAATATATTCGAGCTCTCAGGCAATTAGCATACGACTGTAATTTCAAAAACGTAACGGCGGAGCAAAATAAGAATGACTATATTCGTGATGCCTTCATATCGGGTATCACAAGTCAAAAGATACCACAAAGGCTTTTAGAAAACATAACTTTGACATTGGAGGAAGCCCAAAATCAAGCTACATCTTTAGAAACTGCTGAGAAAAATTCTTTAACTTATACAAACTGCAATAATCATCAAATGCAATTACATGCTGTAACTGATACTTACAATGAAAAACCAGAAAGTAGCACGCAGAATTACTGCATAGCCATTGCAGCAAGTCAACGTAAGCGATGTTTTTTTTGTGGTAATAAAAGTCTACATCAACGCATAAAATGCCCTGCTTTTAACGCAATATGTCAATTATGTTTAAAGAAAGGGCACTTCGCTACTGTTTGCAAAAGTAGTAGACCAACTGTAAATGCCGTAGACAGTGAAGTTGCGGATGATATTAAAACCAAATATATATCTGCTGCATCTCCATCTAGCTTAAGCAAAGCGACAGTGCCTATTATGATTAATGAATTCCACGCTGAAGCTCTGATTGACACAGGAAGTTCTGTCAGTTTTATAAATAAGACATTAGCCCAAAATATGAACTTAAAGATGAGACCTCATAAGCAGGCTATATCTTTGGCTTCCCTTAGTCATATTTCTTTTGTAGAAGGCATTACATATGCAACGATAAATTTAGACAAGCATACATATTCAAATCAACCTTTACTGATTGTCAATAACCTATGTGCAGATGTTATCCTAGGACATGATTTATTGAAAAGCCACAAGACATTAGAATTCAACTTTGGGGGTTCAAGGGATTCCTTAAAAATTTGTGTTATGTAAGCGTCAGTACCTCCTGTATCGTTGTTTACGAACCTTTCTCCAAACATAAAGCCAATTGCAATAAAGTCAAGGCGTTATACAAAAATTGATGAAGAATTTATTAGAGGAGAAGTTTCTAAATTGTTGAAGGATGGAGTGATTGAACCAAGTAACTCTCCTTGGCGAGCGCAAGTACTAGTAACAGGAGGCACTACACATCGAAAACGTCTTGTCATTGATTATTCCTTAACAATTAATAGATTCACTGAACTCGATGCGTATCCACTACCTAACATTGAATCTATGGTTTCCAACGTTGCAAAATACAACTATTTCAGCCAAATTGATTTAAAAAGCGCTTATCACCAAGTGCCGATTTTAGAGACTGAACGAAAATATACAGCATTTGAAGCATGTGGGGCCCTATATCAATTTACTCGTATACCATTTGGAGTCACTAACGGCGTGGCTGCGTTTCAGAGAACGCTACAGTTCATAATTGAGGCTGAAAATCTTAGAGGCACCTTCTGTTATTTAGATGACGTGACTGTATGTGGCAAAAATAGAGACGAACACGATAAAAACTTGCAGCAATTTATGAATGCTGTGAAGAAATACAAACTTACGTTAAATGAGAAGAAATGCACTTTTGGATCAAAAAGTATAAGTCTATTAGGATATTACATTGAGAACAACGTTATCAAGCCAGACAAAGAACGATTAAAACCACTATTGAATCTCCCTACTCCAACAGATGCAGCCTCATTAAGACGTACTTTGGGTATGTTAGCTCACTATTCGAAGTGGATTTACAACTTTTCATACCTTATTAAGCCTTTGATTGATAACACACGATTCCCACTTAGTCAAGAAGCCATAAAATGTTTTAATATTTTAAAATTGGAAATAGCCAAAGCGTCCCTGACAGCTATTGACAATGATGAAATTTTTACAGTAGAAACCGATGCATCCGAGCACTCAATAGCTGCTACCCTTTCTCAAAATGGTCGCCCTGTAGCTTTCCTTTCAAGAACTTTGTCCAACACTGAACGCGGCCATTCATCTATAGAAAAAGAAGCAAGCGCAATTGTGGAAGCACTTCGTAAATGGCGCCACTATCTTATTGGAAGAAATTTTATTTTGATAACCGATCAGCAGTCTGTTGCTTTTATGTTCAATCAAAAACATTCAAGCAAAATAAAAAATGAAAAAATTGAACGGTGGCGCTTAGAACTGTCTTGCTATAAATACGACATAATTTATCGTCCAGGTCGACAAAATACTGTAGCTGATGCATTATCAAGAGTATGCGCTCTCATTAATCCGAATAAGCTGTATGAACTACATGACCAGCTGTGTCATCCCGGTATCACCAGAATGGTACACTGGATAAGATCAAAGAATCTTCCATATTCTGTTGAAGAAATAAGATTAATGACAGCATCTTGTAAAGTATGTGCTGAGATAAAACCACGGTTCTGTCAATCGAAAGGCCAGTTGATAAAAGCTATTGCTCCATTCGAGAGAATAAATATCGATTTTAAAGGCCCACTCCCATCGAATACTCAAAACCGATACCTACTGACAATTATAGACGAGTACTCGAGGTTTCCGTTTGCGTATCCCTGCAGTGATTTATCGGCGGCTACAGTGATACGATGTTTGAAAGATCTTTTTCACACTTTCGGATTTCCATTATACGTACATTCCGATCGAGGTACGACTTTTTTATCAGAAGAGCTCAAAAATTTTCTAACGCCACTTGGAATAGCTACAAGCAGAACCACACCTTACAATCCTCAAGGAAATGGCCAAGTTGAACGACTAAATGGCACACTATGGAGAGCAATACAACTCAGTCTTCGTTCAAAGAATATGGACATTTCAAACTGGGAAAGCGTATTATCCAATGCGTTACACTCACTTCGGTCGCTTTTATGTACGACTACAAACGTCACTCCCCATGAAAGAATGTTCAATCATCCACGTCGTTCGCCTAATGGAAAATCTTTACCTACGTGGCTTATAAACTCTGGACCTGTACTCATAAAGAAAAATATAAGAACATCCAAATATGATCCACTTGTTGAAGAAGCAGAAGTTCTTCACGCAAATCCAACTTACTCGCATGTTCGTCTCTCTGATGGCCGAGAATGCACTGTATCCAATAGACAATTGGCGCCCCTTCCTATGATTCGGATTAGTGAAGAGGAAAATGAAAATGGCCAAGATAATGGAAATAATATTCGCCCTGATATGAATACAAACAATGAGCCAGTAGAACCTGTACAATCTAAACAAACCGAAAATGTTCAAAATAACAGTACAGAGCACGATACAGAAAATAGCGGACTGCGCCGTTCCACTCGTGACAGACGGCCTCCCTCATATCTGCGCGATTATGTTGGAACTTCAAGGGCGGGTGATTGTAGTATACTTACCTCTTTGTTATAATATACAACCTTATTCATAATTGCTATAAACGAAGATATCTGTCATCCTAAAAATATTATTACTTGTCAATGAATTTTGTCTTTATAATGTATGTAATCTTTTATGTTGAATAAAACCAAATATCCATTGGTTTTGACTTTCTTTATCAAGTAATAGTCGACCAACTTATAAAATGCACTTGGATTAATAAAAATTTCGTTTTAACTCCATAGAAAATAAAAAAAAACTAGCTACATTATAACTTTGTAATATAATTGTAAATTGTTAAAAATAAACATTTTATGAAGAAAACGACATATGCATTACTACTATAGCTTTACTTTTTCATTTGCGGTATAGGCAGAGAGGATCTTTCCTACTTACTTACTTACTACTTTCACTTATTTTTTAGTTGGTAGTTATTGTAGGTCTCATTCAAAGTTTTATACAATCATATTATAGCCTCATCCAGTTTTATTCGTCACACTCTTGGTTAACGTGGGCCATCTCAGGATAATTTAGGGCAGTGGGGATTTAGGCTTGTTACGGTCACATATATTTAGATATTAGGTTTGCACTGCTAGGAATATATACATAAATAGTCAACAATGATCATCTTTGTACCATGGCATGTGAATGTTTTGATGTGATATGTATTATTTTCAAAATCAAAAAGTTTTTTAACCTTTTTTGAATACCACTCCTTATGTTTGATTTGAAAATAACTCCTTCAGTCACCATCTTCCTATTCGGGCCCATTTTCAGTCTTTATAGCGGTCTAACCACGAACTCACTTATTATGCTCATTATCAAGAAAGCTCACGTATTGTGACAGGCAACTACGGAACCATGGGGGTGCAACTTAAAACATTATTTTACGAACAAAATGATACGTTTTATGTGCTTCCATCTACATTCCGAAGTGCTAGGCTAGACTTATTTTAATCTCACTTATATATTAAGTCTATGCATACGCAATAATCCACGCGCACTACGCAGTTAGTAGCGGTCACTGGTTACGCTTAAATTGTTATTAATATTTATTGAACATTATTTATTTTTAGAAAATGCCATTTTGTCTGTGTTTTCAGACAATGAAAAACTGCTAAAATATTATTAGAATACGAAGGTAAATTTCGCTGTAACGCACAAGATTATAATAGCTCAGGTGGATAATCGGGCGGGCCCGAAATCTAAAGACCCCGGATCGCCTCCAGCACTGTGTTTATTTTTTCCCTTTTTTTCAAGTTCCTTCTTTTGTGAGCGCCGTCAGTTATGCAAAGCACGACACTAAAGAAAATTAAATTTGAGTCGCGCATCTTTCTCTAGTATATATATATATATATATATATATATATATATATATACAGTAATCTATGTACGGAACCCTACTCTACATTGTGCATGGCCCGACATACACTTGGCCAGTTTTTATTTAAATTTTTGGCTTAGATGTTTGTCTTTTAAGCCACATCTTCATTTTATTTCTGTATCGTGATAATAATCCTTTTATATTTAGTCTTCGATGGCCTGGGTTCTGTTTAGCTTGCTGGAGTTTTGACAGAAACTTGACCGGCGGCGGATTGCTGCTCATGTATAATCGTTTATTATTTAAAAATAATACAGGAGCGAAATCCTCTGAGCAATGAGGGCAGGCCTGTGCCCAGCAGTGAGACGTATATAGGCTGTAAATTTAACTTTTTTTTTAACAGGAGCGAGGAGATTTAAAGTAGATTTTTATATGTAAGCTGCTCCTGTATTATTGCTTAAATAATGGTTTGAAGTGGATTTTGATATAGAAAAGTGGTGCAATTTTGTGTATAAAGTGTCTGCGCATGTGATCTGTTAGTAGAAACGGTGAAACAAGTGCTCTGATGATGATGTGATTCTCAAGATAAAGTGTCTGTCTGTTCAGGCGCCTTGAGATTGAGATACCATCACCAATTGTCAGCTGTCTGCTGGCTTAAGTTGCCGTCGAAATCTCCCAAAGGCTGCACAATGTGACGTATCAACATATTGTTAAGCAGTGTACTATGAAGGATTATAATTATACATTGAACTTCAGGTTTAGAAGGGCTAGAACCCAGAGCCGTAAAGCCAGTTATAAAAAAAATCACGCGTGACCGTGCACTGACTTAGAAGTATATGGACTGGGCATATATACCAAAAGAACATAGACATAGAAAGAATTAGCGTGACTACCTAAACAAATCTGGCACATAAAATGGCCGCCTTTTATAGGCAGCTGATATCGATATTTTCACTAATATGAGTTTGTATTATTTCATATAATTGTAGAAATTAAATCCATAGACTAATTGCGTAACACACCTAAAATGGCAAACCATACCAATTTGACAGTTTAACAACAGCCATTGCGTGGTTTTTGTTGTCTAGCAAACGAATTTTTCAATCACATGAAGCAATGGATATTGTTGGGTTGTTAAATTAGTTTTGGATTGCTATCCCTCAAATTTCGCTTGAGCTGCTTCACGAGCCTTCACCGCATATGTACACTTACGTAATGCACATTCTGCTACAGATTTTTTGTGTTAGGTACACAGTCAAACAAAGAGTTAAGTATGCAGGCAGCTAACTTGCAACTTGTTTTAAACAATGTTCTGAGTGTGCTAAGTGCTTACTCAAGTTTGGAAGTTATACTTCTTTTGGCGCGTTTGAGAAAAATGATGAGAGTGAATTTTTTACAACTTCAATTGGTAATTGTCTGTCAATTGTTAAGTTTTCCTGAGAACTGATAACTATATTCGAGGTAGTTATTCAAATATATATGAATGTATAAAACGTGTTTTAATTCAGTTATTTTTGTTTTGTTACGCTAAAGAAGTATAACTTCTTAAGTGCGTACATAAGTACACACACACGTTTTGTTTTATATCAATGTGAACAAAGTTAAAAAGTTATAACGCACACAATAAAAAAGAATATTGACAGAGTAGTAGGAAAAGGAATATTTTTGCTTGTATACCAAATACCTTTGTTTACTGTACAATAATATTGTACAGTAAACAAATGTATGGAGTTGGGATGGAGATCCTTGATTCCATATTGTAATCTCATATTATAATATTTTTAATATAAAATAATAATGATAAGTTGAGTAAAAATTAAATAAACTGTTTTTAAAATTAATACTTATTTATTATTAATTGGTATATAGCAACGTTCTACACATAATTGATCACAAATGGTAAGTTATATAAGCATGTTCGGTCCTGCCAGATATCATTTTTTTTTTTGTTCAGATTTTAAACAAATAATATTATTATTTTCGCAGGTACATTAATTATGTTCATTTAAAATTCGAAAATCTGACATGATCATGAAACGGTGGATGAAATATGATATCTAGGATTTATAAACTATTATTAATATTATACATTCATTTCTGAATAAAATTAATTTATTAAAATAATTTCTATCGACACCACGGATAAGAGTGTATGACACTATTTCACTGCTTTTTTGACAGTTTGACAGCAGATCTACCTCAAAATTTGGCGCTTAACATTGCGGCCCAGTCACGCAAGGATGAGCTAATGACGTCACACGAAAGTATTACCAAAATAAGCACTTTACAAACTGTAGATGTCTCTCTTTTCTATTCTATTTCTCAGCTACTGCTTTGTTAAAAAGAGACAAAACTGTTTTTGACAAGTGTGTGTCGATATTATAGATATTTGTATAACTATTATTTTTATAGTGGAATATGCCCTCTCCATAGGTATATCTTTATGTGACCGTGAGTGTTTCTCATAAATATAAGAAAAATAGTTTTTCTCATAGATATAAAAAAATACTATTATTCTTATATCTATGGTGTTTCTATAATCAATGAGGTTGTAAAATATAGGGAGTGCGTACTTCATACTAGAAAAACGTTCCTAAATCAGCGACCATGAAATGAATGAAAGGCAATGAGTTAAGCGTTCCATTTCTTTCTAATAGAGTGTCCATGATACAATATTTTGAGGATATTAATTGTATGTACAGCATTACGGAAAACGAAATGCGTATTTTTTTTCAATATGGAAAGTGCTGAATAGTGTTATAATTAAACTCCGTTTAATATTCTGATTACATTATTGCTTCGCCACAGTATCAAACCTTACGGTAACTAGTGGCGGGATAGCGTGGTTTGGCACCCAGGGCGGTTTTCTATCAAGCACCCCCCCCAAAATAAAACAAAAATGCTATACATGCTAACGGGACTTTATTTTGCTAAAATATTCTAATATATTATAAAACTTTACTTTCTTGTCATTTTCGATAGATAAAATGGAAAGATTAGTTAGTCGCGCTTGGCTCATTGTGGACCTTAAGTAAAATTTTATTAACTTGAATTTTGAAAAGCTTCTTTCACATGAAACTTAATAGTAAAAATAATCTTAGACACAGCGCTAGATTCGAATCAGATTCAGAATAGCCCAATTTTACGAGAAAAGCTCAAATGAATTACATTGAACCGGATCTTGGGAAGAAATGCTGGCAGCTTTCAAGTCGTGAAATCTCAAAAATCATATATCCTGTAGATAAATCATCGTAGATTTTTGTCAGATTTTGAACTATTACACTAAGATCTTCATCTGGTGTCGTTAGCAGAGTGTAAGGTTGAACAACACTAAATGTTACGAGAATATCATCCATTGCTCTGTACCGATGGTCTAGTTCCTCGTAAAATCTGTCAAGGCATTCTAACATAGCTCCTCTGGCAATGTTAGTCCAGCATATCGGGTCATTTCTCCTGGTAAAAGTTTTCGAAATTTTCTTATTCCTCTTCTTTCTTCAATCGAAATATCTACATTCTCACATTTTTTGTTACGTAGGAAATAGCTTTTTCCACTAGTTGAATACGTTGCTTTGAAGAAAAATTTTGGGCTTTGATTTTTATCACATACTTTCCCAGTAATAATCTAGATTATTATTTTATTATTTAGTATTTACTTTTGACTAACTTCTTTTAGGATTTTACACCAAAAAGAAAGAGAGCATAAAAAACTGAAGTCACACAAAGCTGGTAAGACTGTAGATGCTGCTTCTCTTGTATCGACGTTTTTTCTGTTGGTGCTGGGATCAATAAGTGAGAGTGTTTATACTAGTTTTTTAAATTATTCTGCAATGGTTTAACAGCATCATGATGAGCAATCCATCTTGTCTTTGAGAGTCTTTTGACGGATACGCCTACACTTTTCATTAAAGTTTCCTATTGACCTGTGGATGATGAAAAGAACTTGTAAACTCTTTCTACTGTTCCGAAAAAAAAACTTGAATTAGCGCTCCCTAAGTGAGTGCACTCCACATAGACTTAGCGAATGATTAGCACAACGCGTTTTCTACGTGGTAGAGCCATGCTGTAGCTATAGACCGGGGAAGGACCACGCACTCACAGAATATCAGCGTAAAATAGTAGCTCAACACTGATGTGTTTCGTATGGTGAGTGTGGAGAACCGGAGACCCTTTTTACTGGAAAAGAGGCATTCCCATCTTAGTCCTCACAGGTGACAACGCATCTGCATTTTGATTCGCAAATGAGGATAGATGTAGATGTCTATAGGCCACAGCAACCACTTACCATCCGGTGGACTGTGTGCACGTTTGTCACCCTATCCTATAAAAAAAACAATATATTCATTCTTCTGACATCATCAAATTTATAATAGTGTTGTCATCTATAGAGTAAAATGAACCCCCTGGTTTTTAGGGAAAGAATATTTGTGTTATAGGGTTTTTTTCGTGTTACTTAATAATATGCTTAATTGAAATACAATATGGAATATACCAACTATGATTACCGATAAAAAATGTAAGATTATCGTTCTAGCATACGTATGCTACAATGTTCCAAGCGCTCACTAGCTATATTATATTATAACGATTTATTATATATAGTGTGCGCATGCTTAAAACATTTGATCAGTAAATGTTTCAATACACGCACCAATGGTACTTGTGTGAACTAAAACAGTGTAGTTACTCATACTACGAAAAATGCGAGTAATCGCTACTAGATGGCGCACCCGTTACTCAGTAGTCAGTACCGAATACATACGGTTTGCTACAGCTTTAATACTGAGTCATAGATAAATAAATATGTAGCAAGTACCGAGTGTTGAGTAAATAGATTCCTGTATAGGACAGTTACCATAGAATTATTACACATAGAATACTAGTACGCGCACCGAATGTGAAGCAAGTAAAACTAACGTGAAACCGCGTAAGTTGACTCAGCGACGCGTCAGTGCGCAACGTCACGTCTTACCGAGAAGAGTTCGCGAAAAATTGTAAAAATTACCATTTGTGTTGTAAAATATTGTCACAACAGTGATGATAAACATAAAAGAAGTGATGGTATTACATTTCACATATAAGTTTATACATTTAATTCATTATACGTACATTAAACTAAAAAAATACTTACCTAAGCTATTTTTTTTTGGAGTTTATGGCCTGGTATCTAGACCTTTAGGCCAAGTCTTAAGTATTTTTATTCGGTTTATTGTAATTTCTCCACTCCTTCATAGTATACTGCTTCACAATATGTTGATGCGTCACATTGTGCAGTTCTTGGGAGATTTTGGCGGCAACTTGATCCAGCAGACAGCTGATAGTTGGCGATGGTATCTAAAGGTGCCTATGCAAACAAACAGCTTATCTTGAGAATCCATCACCATCAGAGCACTTGTTTCACTGTTTCCACTAATAGTTCACATGCGTAGACACTTAATACACAAAATCGCAACACTTTTACATATCAAAGTCCACTTCAAACCATTATTTAAACAATAATACAGGAGCAGCAAACCGCCGCCGGTCAATTTCCCGCCAAAACTCACTTACCTAAGCTATCATGATACAAATGTTGCTAGTTGTGGGGAAAAAATTACGATTTTCTTTTATAAATATTTATTTTCTATTTGTATTTAAAATGTTAATCGCAACGCTCTGTGTAAAACTCAAATGTTTATATATAGATACCTACTTCTCTAAGTGTTAACATTATATTAACAATGGGTGCCTATTTAAAACTAATACGGAGTGATCAGCTAATCGCGATTCGTCGATGCCATTTTAACGCAACTATTTTATTTTAATTGTTTTGTTTATTGACTAAGGCTACGTTTTAGAGTATAGAATAAAAACTTTTTTATTTACAACATCAAGAGATTATTAATAAGAACGCCTTTACTAACCAGATGTCACTTTACACCCAAACATTAACCATATGTTACGTTAGACCCCAACCTAGCTTATTTAAACCGACTCCCAAAAAGTAAGGTTATCAATACGTATGTACACTGATTTCTAAGCTTGATCAATGCGTATATATACATGCTGAAATTTTAGTGGTTGTTGTCACGCAGCCAAATTATACTGTCTCGATAGTAGAGTCAAAAAAATCAAAATATTACAATTAAAAATGGGCAGATTTACAATAGTAATACCACACAAGCTAGTCGGGCATCCAGACTAGTTTATGTCGTATCACTACGCTTGAGAGTTCATGTTATGAACATTTATTAGTGGCCCTTCACTAGGTAGGAAGTGCCCGGTAGCGTGTGCGATAGACGTAACACTACATTGCGTCCAGCGAATTTTTTTTTCAGACTTTTTTATAGTAATTTGGTATAAGCTAGCCTGCACGCCCTACCTACTTGCGAGATATTGCTATTGGTTTGAGATCGCATTCGAGTTTTGTTTTTCTCGATTGTAAATCTGCCATTTTTACATCCTAATAATTTTTATTTTATTAAAAATCTATTGTACTACTAAGGCAAAATCAGTTTACTTCGGGAAAACAACCATTAAAATTTCAGCGTGTATATTGGATCAATCTGTGTATATATCCTTTCAAATAAAAAGATCTAAATCGGTTTAGAAATTGTAGAATTCTGAGGTAAAAACATTAAAAATACACCGAATTAATAACCTTCTCCTTTTTTAAAGTCAGTAAAATTAAACATTACATGATGTGCTTATTGTATTCGAGCAAATTAATAGTGTTTTATAATATTCTTAAGTTTTATTACGTCTGCATTTTTGTACCATTAATATATGTATAATAAAGTTATATTAGTATCACCATTATTGTGTTTATTTTATTTTATATTCTCATAAAATACATCTTCGTACGTAATACGTAATCTTTATTATATCGATTTTTTTAAATTAATCAAAAAGTAGTGATTTGCACAATTTGATTGCAAACACCAGAAACTGGTATCACGGGATGGCGTGTATGTGTGCGTGTGCCGAGCGTAGGCACATTCGACTCGCGCCCACTAACATAATGACCTTGCGTCATTTTAACGCTAGTGTTTTGTATTAGACTGCGTTTCTATGCGTAATAATTCTATGACAGTTACTATACTCTTTGGATGAGTGTTTCTACATAGTTTGTGACAGGCTCAGAAGAACTAGAACCCAGAGCCATAAAGCCAGTTTAAAAAAATAGTTTGTGGTTATACTACAAATTAGCTTGCTACATATATATTTATCAAAGAGTATAATAAGTTATCTATGCTCCAAATCCAATACAACATTGAACATTGAGTTTGTGTTTTCAGAATTTTTGATTTTTAGTGTCATTTCTCATTTTATTTATATTTTAATATTTTCAAACAATGGGTGTAGACGTAGAGACTATTTCACCAGGAAACGGTAACTAGATACATTTATTCGGCTAAAAATATTTTTAAGAAAATATAACTACCGTTTTCTTTTAGGAACAAGTTACCCGAAGCCCGGTCAAATAGTGGTTGTTCATTACACCGGTACACTACAAAATGGGAAGAAGTTCGATTCCTCTAGGGACCGCGGGCAGCCCTTCAAATTTACCCTCGGAAAAGGGGATGTTATTAAAGGTTGGGATCAGGGACTTGCTAAAGTAAGTTTTCGATAAATTTAACTTATAAGAACGTCAAACAATCGTCAATCTATATTTCGTAAAAATGTTAGCATGTGGTAGCTCAATTTGATTTTATTTTAACTAGGAATGTTAAATACGACGCGTTTCGGGCGATACGCGTTATACAGTTTATTCATACTAAAAATCCACCCTAAGGTAGATACTCCGAAACGCGTGGTCATCTGTTTACGGGGTTGATAATCGTAATTCGTATATATTTTTTTCCAATTTTCTCCCTCATCTATGCAGTCATTTATAGAAACCTGATAAGAACTGGCCCAAGACACTTGGTAGACATTAGTATACCTAAAAAAATACTTACAGTGGAATCCGTTTATAATGACATTGAAGGGAAATAACAAATACGTCATATAAAGCATTTTGTAGAAAATAAACAATCTCTAGTTTTTCTTAGTATGTATTTATTTTAATAGACAAAAATCTAATTAAAGTAACTTAAATTCTTAATAATAAATTCTTGTTTTTAAAAATCATTGAGATTGTCGAGTGACCAACCTTGAATTCCCTTGTGAGAGATAAGTTGGATTCTCTATTTTCTAAACTGCACGTGCACTGACGTTAAGATTTAATTTTTTTTTAAAAATTAAAAATTTTTTCACAAATCACAAACAATGCCGTGACCTTCAACAGTCAATTACCCACCAAGACTCAAAACAAAGAAAAGCTATGCATGCGCCGAACGTTGTCGGGTATCAATTGACTCTCCTGAACACTGCCAAAGGTATTAGGAATCATGTCGGTCACTATAACCGGACATGATTTAGTAAAAATGGGTCACAATAGGCGACATGTCACTATAAGCAAAGTCATTATATCCAACTTTATTATAAAGAATTTTATATGAAAACCAAACTTCGCTGTGTAATTACGTCATAATAAGCGGTTGGTCAATATAAGCGGAGCCATAATAAACGGATTCTACTGTACTTGTGTGAAAGGTCTATGCTGAAATAAAAGGAATGTCTTAAAGGATTACGGATTCATTGGAATCTTGGCATAAAACAATTTAAAATGAAGTTAAAGACAAACAAAAGAATGCTTATAATAAAATGCATGTTTTTCTCTAGCACTTCTGTTGTAGCAAAGAAATTTAGAAAACAATTGCAAATGTACATCAAAAGATACAAATTTATCAAGGATATCAAATTACATCTACTCAATAATTAAATCAGTGTTAGTAATTTCTTGGACTTAGTGCAGAATTTATAAATTATGTAATAATATTTAAAACAAGGATGCGTGAATGCAGTATGTAATGCATGGACTTTAATAAGTTGTACGAGGGCGGCACTGAAAATTTCGGGAATCAAGGAAGTGACACAACATTACTATTTAAAAATTATTTATTGCTTTTCGGAGTATTCTCCGTGAAATTTGACACATTTTTGCAAACTATGGCACCAATCATTGAAGCAACCATTCCATTCGGAAGTTGGGGTCTTCAAAATGACCGTTTTGTAGGCGTCCACAGCTTCTTCAGATGATGAAAATATCATTCCACGCAATTTATTCTTTATTTAAGGGAAAGTATAGAAATCATTAGGGCTTAGGTCGGGGCTGTACGGCGGATGGTCTAATAATTCTATGTTTTCTTGCTCTAAAAACTCTTTTGTTCTGTGTGCAGTGTGAGAACTCGCATTGTCGTGATGGAGGATGATGCGGCGGTTGCAGTTCTCTTTACGGAGTTAAGAAACGACATGTGGCAAACAAATGCTAGCATACCATTCTGCATTAACCGTTCTTTGTTCCTCAAGAGGAATAGTCGTAACATGGCCGGTTTTGGAGACAAACGTGGCCACCATTTTTTTTTGCAACACCGTGAACGAACAATTTTTGTTGGCTTTAACTCATTTTCGAACACCCAAACTCGTGACTGGTTTTTTGTTTCGGGTTCGTACGCGTATATCCAGGATTCGTCACCTGATACGATGTTGTATACAGCATTTGAGGATCCTGCGTGGAATCTTTCGAGAGTTCTGACGCACCAAGTAACGCGAGCCGCTTTTTGCTCTTCACAGAGCGAATGCGGTATCCATCGGGAAAACAACTTTTTTACACCTAATTGTTCATGTAAGATTATTTGTATTTGACTCATGCCAATGTCTAAAGTTGCCTGAATTTCGCGTTATGTTACATGTCGATCTTCCTCAATCAGTTTACGCACAGCATCAACGTTTTCTTGGGTAACTGCAGTTTTTGGACGACCTTGACAGGGATCATCACTGAGCTTGACACGTCCATGTTGAAATTCAGCAAACCAGCGATAAGTTGTGGTTTTGGATGGGGCTTCATCACCAAATGCAGAAATCATCCGGTCAACACACTGTTTTTGTGTTAAACCACTTCGAAAGTTATAATAAATCATCGTTCTTGAATTTTCTCGAGTCAATTCCATTTTCTCAACGACTAAACAAGTTTGACAAAACCTTGTGACAAGACTGAGAATCTTTTTTTAAATAAATAAATGGTATTCGATTTTTAAAACTAAGAAGTTTTCAATTAAAAAGATTGTGATATGACAGGAACAGTGGAAATATTCCATTCCCGATACTTTTAGTGCAGCCCTCGTAATATGATTTTGAATTAAATTTATGATCATTAAAAATTATTTAATAATTAAAATGTACGAGTTGAACTTTACTTAAGCTTAAAAGTCGAAAGAACAAATTAGTGAATTCCGATTATACCCAATGGGTGGATAGATGATCACACTTTTCTTAGTATCCACCCTAGTAACCTAGTACAATATATCGACTCTACTGATAGCATTTAATATTATTATATATTAGCATGGAGACAGTTGCAACAACCGATAATGCCTGTATCCTCTTTGTGCTTACTAGTCTATTTTTGAATTGGTTTAAATTTTGGGCTGAGACCACATTCATTACTAATTTAGTGAATTCAAAAGAAGGTAAAATAAGGCACAAATTAGGTTAGATAATATTATTTGATTGATTTAAAAAAAGTGTTTGTATAAATCTGAAAATTGTGTTTTCACTCCATTAGATTATTTTTCAAGTTAGAAAGTAGAATCAATATTAACCATTATAAAAAAAATCACAAGTCTGCGGCCAAAGGTGGTTTCTTAAGTCAGTTTGAATTAGACCTTAAAAATTAAATTTCGTTGTCCAACATATTTTTTTTCTGCTACTGTAAAATAATTCATATACTAGATTCCATAACCCATTACTATGTAATTATTATTACAGATGTCAGTTGGTGAAAGAGCCAGATTAACCTGTTCTCCTGATTTTGCATATGGCTCTAGAGGCCATCCGGGTGTCATTCCACCAAATGCCACATTGATTTTCGACGTAGAGCTGTTACGTGTAGAATGATCAATAAAACAACATTTGTTATTATTTAAAGTATATGAATTATTGAAGATGTTACAAATTGATTTTATTACAATTTATAACTATTAAGTTTATTACTGGGCAGTATTTCTTGGTTTGTGACTTACTTGTATCCTTTATTTACACAACAATATTGAATAGTTGTTTATGAATTATTTTAAAGCATGATCAATTATTGTGCTTATAATATGTATGTAATATTATTACAAAATTTCTAAATTAAGATTTTGAAGGATTTAGTTAAGCTAGTTCTTTGCACAATTTTTATGAACAATAAAGATACATCTTTGGCAATTAATGTTAAACAAAATGGAATAATATACTATTTTAATATGCATAATATGTTCTTTTGCTGAATCTCTTGAATTTCATATTAGATTATAGAAATTTAAAATAAAGGTTTGCATTTTATGTTCCTTAAAATACTTAATTTTAACAAACTGTTCTATAGAATAATATTTATTAGAGTTATTAAAATAAGTTTTAGTAAAATAAAGTTTTATTTTTCACTATCACCACAGTATAACTGTATTTGCTGATCTAATATGCTGATCTAATATCAGTGGTGTAGTATGGGTTGCTGTCACCTGAAGCCACTAGAGCCTAATATTCTGCCTCTAACAAACTACATCTTATTTTTGCAAGTACCTTAAAAATATATAATCAGTAAATTTTTCTAGTCTCTATTAATTGAAAATGAATGAAACAATATGATTTATTTTTCATACTTCTATCTATCCTGGGCCAGTAAGTGTGTGCAAATGATTTTCAGATCTGTTAATACCGACAAGTATTTGTTGTTTTTATCTAAAGTAGTCAAGTTTCTTACAAAATATATAATATAAATTATATATTGTTTTCGTTAATAATATTATATTTTTGCAATGTTTGTGAAAGTCATGGGGTGGGGAACATTTTTGGCTCTAGCAGCTCTGGGATTAGCCACTCATGCCATACCACTGCTGACCTATGTGCACAAATAAGTTGAACCACTAATAATACTATTGTTGTTGATAATCACCTGGATAATAGTTCATTAAAGGTACAACATTATTTTTTGTAAAAGGTGTCCTGCACAGTGGACAATTTTCTAATGCCCCATAACAACACTGCAAGCAGAAGACGTGCCCACAATGAAGGACACATGGTTGAATTATCTCCTCCAAACAAGCCACACATGTTCTATTACTATCAACTTCACTGGGAAAGTTTGATAACTGTTCCATGTTTTTTTTGGCCTCATAAAGACTCTGCCCACATGATATGAAAGCATGTAACAGTGTAACTAATCCTAATAATCTTAAATGAGCGTAATATGCTGCAGCTGCTGGTCTCACATGAACATAGTCTATGCCTGCCACCAATTTCCCTATTTGCAATGGTCCTCCATTAATATACGATAAGGCCCTGTGTATACTTTCTAATTGAGGAACTATATTTCCTAAAGTTTTTATAATAACTATAAAGAAGTTCTGTGCCTCAGGTTTGAGTGACGAATTTAATTCTATCTTCCTTTCAATTTCACGAAGTAATCTTCTGGTTATATTTTCGCCAAATGTTGATAAGAGTATACTAAGCAAGCGATTGCTAAATGTAGGCAAATTATGATAACTTTCGTCAACTTGTACGATTCCCGAATATTCTTCCCCGAGTGTTTGGAGATCTTTGAGCGTAGTAAAGGATTTATAAAGCAGGGACGATATTGGATCGGCTTTAGTTGCTTGATGGGACGGTATTAATCGTGCCAGTGATCCTGCGAGTTGTTTCTCATAAAAATCATCCTTTTGCCACGCTCGTAGCACTTCTGCAGGCTGTGCTCTTGGCAAAGCCATATTTACATTTTTCAGATATTACTATTGTATGTGAGAAACTATCTTAGACAGTTTATTAAATAAATTTAAATCATCATCTATCACTATCACAATAAATATTAAGTAGCTTATCATAACCTATAAAAAGTCATTTTTATAACTGGCTTTACGGCTCTGGGTTCTAGCCCTTCTGAGCCTGAAGTTACAGTGTTATCCTTCACAATATGTTGATGTGTCACATTGTGCAGCCCTTGGGAGATTTTGACGGCAACTTGAGCCAGCAGACAGCTGACAGTTGGCAATGGAATCTCAAGGCGCCTAAGTAGGCTCAATCTCAAGATAAGGTAACCTTATCTTGAGAATCACATCACCATCAGAGCGCTTGTTTCACCGTGTCCACTAAATTTCATTTCACATACGCAGTCATTTCATTCACAAAATCGCACCACTTTTACATATTCAATTCCACTTCAAACCATTATTTAAACAATAATACAGGAGCAGCAATCCGCCGCCGGTCAAGTTCCCGCCAAAAACCTATAAATTCTCTTATCTGTCAGATGGCAAAGATTATATAATCCACTTAGGTGGTCTATAGTTTCGACGTAATTATAATATACTAACATAGACTTCACATCAAAGAGTACAAAGGGGATAAGGTTGAAGGTGGGGACCAAGGACACGAGTATCTTCGCCGCATATAGACCCCCCAGTACCTCGTTTACCCCCCAGGATATAAGATCCATCCATAATGCAACAACACTTGCAATTATCGCTGGAGACCTCAATGCGAAACATCCTGCTTGGGGCAACACGATAATAACTCCTCCGGGGAAAAAGCTTTACGACGACGCCGAGGAGTTACGAGAGACAATTACGATGAAAAACGAGGTACGAGGTGCTGGGCCCGGATGAGCCCACCCACATCCCAACCGAACCCGAACACTAGCTCGATGTCCTCGACATAGTGCTGTGCCACATACTGCCGTACACAATACGGTTAGAAGTGCTGTATGACGTAGACACGCAGCACCTCCCCGTGTTGATAACCATCTACACTAGTGCGGATGCCGTAGTGCCCAGAAGCCTCAAAATGAAGAGTAACTGGACGCGCTTCCGTAGTGCGCTGGAGGACCTCCGACTCTGCGCTACTATTACCACCCAAGAAGATGTGGAGACAGCGGCCCTACATTTTCACATGATTGTAAAATACCAACTTTTCCTTCAAAAGAGTTATTGCCAAGGCAAAGTCAGAGCACATAGGCAGAATTGGCGAGAAACTAGTTCGCCTTCCTTCGGGAACCCGTGCATTCTGGTCTCTCGCCAAGGTTGTCCAAGGGAATTTCTGTAAGCCATCATTACCATCTCTGCACAGGGAGGACGACACACTGGCCCAAGACGCAAAAGACAAAGCTGACCTTTTAGGCTCTCTTTTTGCGTCCAACTCGACTCTTGATGACGGGGGGAAAACACCGCCGATCATCCCGCGGTGTGAGTGCTCCATGCCGGATGTGCTGTTCTCTCAGCGCTCGGTTCGCAAAGCACTTCTCTCCCTGGACATCCAGAAGTCGAGTGGGCCTGACGGAATCCCCCCAATTGTGCTGAGGACGTGTGCTCCGGAGTTGGCACCGGTCCTAACGCGTCTTTCCGGTACTCCTACTCCCAAGGCGTAGTCCCGAACTCATGGAAGACAGCTTTTGTCCACCCGATCCCTAAAAAAGGCGATCGCTCAGATCCGTTCAACTATAGGCCTATCGCGATCACCTCCTTGTTCTCCAAAATAATGGAATCCATTATTAACTGCCAGCTCATCCGGTACCTTGAGGATCACCAGCTGATTAGTGACCGCCAATACGGTTTTCGTCGGGGTCGATCAGCTGGTGATCTTCTAGTCTACCTGACCCATAGATGGGCGGAGGCAGTAGAGTCCAAGGGGGAGGCGTTGGCCGTTAGTCTGTACATTGCGAAGGCCTTCGATCGGGTTTGGCACAAAGCGCTTCTTTCGAAGCTCCCTTCCTGTGGGCTTCCCGAGAAATTATGCAATTGGATCACCAGCTTCCTTGCAGATCGGAGCATCAAGGTTGTTGTAGACGGTGCATGTTCTGACTACAAGCCTATTAACGCTGGTGTTCCACAAGGCTGTGTGCTATCACCAACGCTGTTTCTTCTGCATATCAATGATATGTTGCTAACTGGTAACATTCATTGCTATGCGGACGACAGCACTGGTGATGCTCTATACACCGGCCGTGCCAATATTTCTCGGGAAAACGTCGTCGAGTACCGGAACAAACTTGTGTCTGAAGTCGAGTCTTTGCTGAACAAAGTCTCGGATTGGGGGCGACTAAATCTAATCCAGTTTAATCCTCAGAAAACACAAGTTTGCGCGTTTACCGCTAAAAAGAACCCCTTTGTCGTATCTCCTCAGTTTCAAGGCACTCCCCTTCTTGCCTCAGCCAGTATCGGTATCCTCGGAGTCGACATATCGAGTGACGTGCAGTTTCGTGGTCACTTGGAAGAGAAGGCCAAATTGGCCTCTAAAAAACTTGGCGTGCTCAGCAGAGCGGGACATTATTTCATGCCGGCGCACCGCCTGCAACTTTACAAGGCGCAGGTTCGGCCTCACATGGAATACTGTTCCCATCTCTGGGCAGGGGCTCCCCAGTGCCAGCTCCTTCCACTTGACCGCATCCAGCGTAGAGCGGCTCGAATCGTCGACGACCGAGCCCTTTGCGATCGGCTCGATTCATTGGCACTGCGAAGAGATGTTGCATCCCTTTGCATTTTCTTTCGCATCTACCATGGGGAGTGCTCTGAGGAATTGTTCGGATTAATCCCAGCCGCCAAATTTCACGAACGCACATCGCGGCAGAACTCCCGATACCATCCACACCTTCTGGATGATTGGCGGTCCTCCACTGTGCGATTTAGAAGATGTTTTCTTCCTCGCACTTGCTTGTGGAATCGATTACCATCAGCGATTTTTCCGGACCGATACGACTTAGGGACCTTCAAGAAAAGAGTAGTCCTTTTTAAAAGGCCGGCAACGCATCTGCAATTCCCTCCCTGGTGTTGCAGTTGTTCATGGGCGGCGGTAGTCACTTACCATCAGGTGAGCCGCATGCTCGTTTGCCCCCTCTCCTATGAAAAAAAAAACTGCAAAAACACAACTGCTAAAAGTATCTATGACGCCCAAAAGAGGGCAGAGATGATGGCACAGCACTTCGAGGAGCAGTTCAAACCTAATAGCGTAGCAGAGGGATACGCTGAGCTTGTAGCAAGCATAGAAAACCGCGTACAGGAATACCTGTCGTACCCGGCACTGCCCCTACGGGGCGATGACTTTATCTCGCCAGTGGAGGTGGTAAGGCGCGCCGTCATATGTCTCCCACTCGCAAAGCGCCGGGATGCGACGGTATTACCACCACAGCCATCAAGCAGCTGCCCAGAAGGGGAATAGTGGACTCTCCAGGCTCTATAAAGGCATCATGAGAACTGGCCACTTCCCGACCATCTGGAAGCAGGGCAAGATCATCGTGCTACCAAAGCCGGGAAAAGACAGGAGGTACCCGGCCAGCTACCGCCCCATAACGCTATTACCGCACATAGCAAAACTCTTGGAAAAGCTGACCCTGAAGAGGGTACTGCCACATGTTAGCCTTCGTGAACAATTCGGCTTCCGCAGGAGACATTCCACCACATCACAACTGGCCCGCGTGCTGCACTATCTTGCGGCCGAATACAAACGCGGCCGTATCTGTGTGGGGGTCCTTCTCGATATGGAGAAGGCCTTCGACAGAGTGTAGCACGCAGGACTAGTACAAGCTAATCGAGCATACCATCTTGCCGCAAATACTTGTGCGGTTAATAGCGTCGTTCCTGGAGGGGTGAAGCTTCAATATCAACCTGGAAAGGGCTGTTTCGGTAGTAGGACCGATCGTAGCGGGAGTGCCACATGGCAGCTTCCTATCACCGCACCTGTAGGCGGTTTACACTAATGACATCCCCACACTCCAAGGCCATCTGGAAGAGTGGGAGGAAGATATCATGCTAGCCCTGTATGTCGATGATAGTTTGTACTTCGCGTCATCGCACCGGGTGGAAATAGCTGCCAGGAAGTTGCAGCGGCTCTACTCGACCTGTTGCCTGAGTGGCTGGACAAATGGAGACTGGCGGTCAACGTCGGGACGACTACCGCCTTCATGACCAGGCTGACTAGTACAGCACCAACTCTGCAACTCCGCGGGCAGGATATAGGTTGGAATAGAACTATCACTTACCTTGGCTGCCAGATAGATCCCTCGCTGCATATGACCCCGATGGTCGATCACGTTGTGAGACAGGCCAGAGCTGCGCGAGCGAAATTATACCCTATACTGGCATCCAAACTTCCAACAAAAGCCAAAATCGGCATCTACAAAACTTACGTCCGCTCGCGGCTGACCTACGCAGCACCAGCCTGGTACGCGTTGACCTCGGCCACTCAGCACAGGAGGTTGTGGGCCCAGCAAAATCTTGCGCATCGGGTGATCGTGGGAGCTGGCCGTTACGTCAGGAATGACGCTATCTCGCAAGATCTTAAGGTCGAGACCGTCCAAGAATTCGTGGCCCGTACTGCGAGATAACGGGCCACACCCACACCTTCAGAATTTAGGACCACTCCATGCGCGCCCACCTGACGGGCGACCACTCCCACGTGAACTCCTACGTCCACCGCCCGGCACAGGGAACGCCGGTGACGAGTGAGCATCCCGACACCTGATTGGATGGCGTGAAGTGCGCAACACACCAACCAAAAAAACCGCCAACGCAGCACCCAGGACCGGGGGAGCCGTGCCCCCTGAGATGCAGCCCATGTAAATAGTGCCTCCTCGCAACATGAAAACCTCCACAAGTAGAATAACCACCACTGGAAATTCGTTCGAACAGTTCGGGGCCAGCTACCAGTTTAAATCAAGAAAGAAAATAATAGGGAAAAGTGATAGGAAAAAGTAGTGAAAATTTTCAATGTCGCATTCCTAACGGTAAATTACGAAGATTAATTGATTTTTCATTTAAGAAGACGAAGCAGCGTCGAATCCAGTACCATAATTACAGTCCACTGGTGACGGACGTCAAGACCGGGACCATTCCATAGGGACCCGTAATCTTATTCGTCTAACCTTTCTTTTAAGAAAGCGCAGATAGGCTTTGAGTGACACACCTTCTCAGCGGGTCACGCCCACCTCGTTGTTCCCGAACCCAACGTGGTGTGATATTAGTATCTGTGAATACAAGGTCACTAATTGGTTGATATCTGCTGCAGGGCGGGTCAGGAGCCGCTGTTGGTTTTCACGCACTTTGACCTTGCCCGTTTCACTATTAATTCTAGTCCACGTTATTTTAATTTTGTTGGATGCAGTTTTAACATTTTGTTGCTTAGTTATCTGTACTTTTTTTTTTAAATATTTTAGAATATTGTTTTACATGCTCTCTAAATATACCACTATGATTATAAATGCTCTTTCAATATAAAGATCGTTTAACCAGGCCTGTCACTCTTGCTACCTGCGTGATATAAAAACCTACAATCGCACGGAACCTCAGGTTACATACGCAATCAGGGCTAGCACGTTTTAGGCGAGCTACTTGTCAACGAATTTGAATTTTTTTTAAACTGTTTACGTAAATAGATTTTTTGTATAACATTTGTCGAAGCGCCTGTTAAAATAAAATAGTGAAAGATCGTGGGCGCTTCGAAGTGAAATTCAGGACAATATCCGACATTACAATTAACACCTAGCTAGCTTGCTACATATATATTTATTTATGATTAACACTCTCTTCTAACGCGGCGTACTAGCAGTTAGCAGTCTTGATTTTGTCAAAGTAAAATATTAAAATAATTAATTTAATACATCTTTTATTTGCTAACTAAATGTTAACTAAAGACAACCTTGTATAAATATTTTTGTTTATTGTTTAGTATATTTAGTTATAGGATAAAATAGTTGTATAAGTTTTAGTGAAATTTATATGTATAATTTAATGTTTGATATTGAAAATACATTCTATAACAATTTTGTAAACATAATAATGAAAAAATAAGCAAATACTTTACTAAAATTAATAACAAATATTAATTTTATCACTTCGTGTCAATGTTTTCCCTCCCAGTATTTACTTAAAATTATAAGTCAGATTTAGAACTTTGTCCAATCTTAAAAATAAAAATTATTTTAGAGACTGTAAAAATATAATAAAGTAAAACAGTTGTAAATCAAATAAATAATCAAAAAGTACTTTAAACGTACTGTATTTTTTACCATTTTTTGGAACCCCTGGGCAGGGCTCGGATAACGGTATATTTTTCGAAACGTTTTCGCCTTAAATACCCAAAATCTTATTTGTTTCGTTTATGTATATGTTCGAACGGAATCATAATCAAAACGTTTATGAAGAGAACGAAATTTTAAATAGTTCTTGTTCAATAAAACGTTTTTAACCGTTATAAACAGTTTTTTCCCATTTTTCCATTTTTTGGCCCTGCAATACGAAACAAAAATACCTTATAGGTTTAAACTTGTCGTGGCACGGGCCATTTATTTAGCTTCCTGCGGAATAAACAGTTTTTTTACGTTTTCACATTAGGTTCTCATTTAGTTTTTGTTCCGAACAAAATGTTATACAAGGAACCGTTCCAAACGTTTTAAAAACGTCATATTTTAATAACGTTTCCGAGCCCTATCCCTGGGTAACCACGAAATATCGTCCGTGACGTAGGGGAAAAGATGCAAAGCCGTCCGTATGACTTACGTGCAGTGATAAGGTTTAATTTAGCTTGCTTGCGCGATTTATCTAATTAATAATTATGTAGGCTATTAAAACGTCGACAAGTAGTCAACATCAAAAGAGTGCTACTTCTGTACGTAGTACTATTATTTATTCTGTGGTTTAACCTTCGCCTACTTTTACAAATTCCTACTGCCGCATATTCTTTATATGGCTTGCAACTGTTTATGGAATAAGTTTTAGAAGTAAATATAGTCTATTGAATTTACAACTTACAATTTTAAATAATGCACCAAACATATAATCAGCACTATTTTTGTATGAAAGTGATGGAAATTTTTTTACTATATTGCTTCTAAACCTCTCCAAGATTCATTTATTGGAACGAACACAACTTTCTCATTTTTCTCCTTTTTGAGGCAATGAGACTAATTGTCCAGTGTCCGAACTTAAATTTTTAATGATTACTATATCAAAGAGTACAATAAGACAATAGCAAGCAAGGCATCAACATCTGTAAATATTTTATCTATACAGGTAGCAGTATCTATCTAGCAGTACGTGTTGGTTCTAATAATAAATTAAGAAGTTTGCGTGATTTAAACAATGAGCTAACGTCATTGAAAAAAGTTTCTAGGTCGTTATTAAAGAAGCTTTCAGAAGCTCAGCTATAATTCCATTCTCACTAGGGCCATTGCCGTTTTTAAGTAGCTGGAGAGCCATTCTAATTTCGCTCAGATTAACGTCCGGGATATCATCGGAATAGTGTCGGATGAGACTTGCTCCTAGATCGTTACTCTCACACTTGCGTGAGGCTCCAGAGATGACGTCTACAGTTGTCCGTAAAATCCCTCAATCTCACCTAAAATCTCAGATATCCCGGAAATGTCGCTGCCACAATTGGTTTTCAACTTAGACAGTTGGCTCTTTCCGCCAAAACTTTGTAGCCTTAGTCTCCTTGGTTCTGCTAAATTGCTTATTCAATACGAGCTTTATTAAAGTTGCATAAGTCACGCTGCGTGCATTTGGAGATCTGTCTGCTCAGTTGCCTGTATGCTTTTTTTCTGTTCCATCAGTCACATGGAACACTTAACAGATTCTGGTTGGAGTATTTTTCAGGTGTTATAAAGACAACTATAACGAAAAAGATATCACAGGAATTTTTTTTTATTAGTCTTCAAAATTGAACAGATTGTAAACAATAATTTTAAATTTCAAAGGACATAATTATCATCATCTGTGGCGTCGGGGTCACCAATGTGGGCGGTGGAAGGAAAAGGGAAGATCTCCCGCCGGGCAAGGTGTTCAGCCCGGGGAGCGGCCAACGCTCCGAGTGGTAGTTCGGAGCTATTCTATATGTACTGCTTTAACTTCGGAACTTTTGTTAGCGCGATTTAGGCTTCGATGTGTTTCGCTTGTGGCGCACCGACAGCGCCGCCACACATCCATGCAATATGAAAAGACCTCAAAAAATATAGGTCAATGTATATTATCTGTGATGCAATGGGCCATTACTGCCAGTGAGCGAAACAGTACAGTTAAGTTGCCCTGAAAAGAAAAATAAATATTTGAGATCAGTTTTTATTTTAAAGTTCGAAATTTTTGTATATTTGTAATGCAGAGTAAGGATGTTTTATACTAACAAGGTTCGCTTTTGCTGCTTAGTTTCGCGACCATCTCATGAATCCTCTTCATTTCCTCCAACTGTGTTACTCAGTACGTTCTATTCCCACGCTCTAACACCGTCTTCTCTAGCCGTTTTATGATCTGAAAAATACAAAAACATATACAATATGTAGTTTAAACTAGCGCTTGAAATTACTATACCAATCGTTTCATCATCATCATCATTACATCCCTTCACTAGTCCACTGCTAAACATAGGCCTCCCCCAAGAAATGCCACAAAGCACGGTCCTGAACCACCTGTATCCATCGACATCCTGCATGTCTTACCAGGACATCACTTCATCTAGTAGGGGCCCGCCCTACACTTCGCCTACCGGTACGAGGTTGCCACTCGAGAACCTTACTTCCTCATCGGTTCTTCGTGATATAACTGACCATTGCCACTTCAGCTTACTAATCCGTAAAACCAATCTTTTACACAATAATTTTTTTTAACCCAGTGCCCAGCAGTGGGTCACATGACTTTTTTGGGCGGTGTACTCACACTGTCCTTTTTCTCTAGCTCTCTTCTCAAAGCGCTTTCAGACGCCGCCGCTTTCTGCAACTTTTTGTCGCGTTGCTTCACTCGCTCCACGAATTTAATTAAAAGGCTAGCTAGCTCGTTGTTTTTATTAATCTGGAAATAGGAGAAATATATATTTTATATTGCTTTTGAATCTCTCCAGGTCTAATTTCTTAACGCTAACGTTATCGAGGAACGATGTAGCTGTCTATGGGCCACAGCAACCAATTACCATCAGGTGAACTGTGCTCGTTTGTAACCCTTATCCTATTAAAACTTGACTCAATTTTGCATTTTTAGTTAAATTACATTTTTAGTATTTAAAAATATACAAATGTGATGATAATTTAAAAAAAAACATGCATCATTATACTATATTCCCCTACAATTTGAAATAAATCATAAATGCATGTAAAAGAAAATTCGTTGCAAAACAAACTCATTTAATCAAATCTACTTTCCACAAATATTACAATTTTACCTTGAACATTAGCAATACATAATACCTTACTATCCCAATAACACGGTTACAATCATAATTTAGGACTAAATTTGAAATCAAAGACATTTAAGGAGTGGTAATGGACCGGATATCAGCAGCAAAATAGTCATCGGTTACTTTTGTCCTATAGGATATATTTCGGATTTACGTCTTAGAGACATCGTCAAAAGTTCAAGACGCATTCGTTTCGTTTCCTAAATTTAAAAAATATTTTTTTAAAGAAAATATGTCCGATTGTGAATTAAGGTATTGTAAGTCCCGATATGGAGCAAAAACTGAATGTGATTTCGGTTTATTATCACAAGTTCAATGTATATTTACCCAATAACTTTAAAATTTTATTAATTTCTAGTGGATTGTTCTATAACATTTATCATTATTGTATTTGTATAAATAGATGACTGAGCACTACCTCATTAGACAGACTCCTGGTTGGAATAGGAATTCTCTACCACACAAGTAAAGTTTCAACCTATGAACGCCCTACAGCTTATTCTGCCGACATGCATTACTAAGGGCGGGAATCGAACCTTGGTTGCTCATACACTGAAAATTAATGCGAGCGCTACCACCACGGCTCTCACTACCACTTAATAAATACTACTACAGTAGAAGCTTGATAACTTAAACCTAGACAATGTAATAACCTCTATAAATTCATAAAATTTTGTGTTCCTTCCGCTCGGCAGTCCAAAACCTCTTTTACATAAAATACAAACCCTCTAAAACGAATAATTTGAGTATCGCACCTCAGTAACTCAAAATTGTAAGGGACCTTTGTAACTTCAACCATCTATCAATGAGTCATTTTAAATGAATGTGCAAACAATAAAGGTTCTCTGTAGAGTGTAGACCATTGTTATTGCTTATGTTTACCAAATGGCTTCAAATGTAAACAATAGACAAAGGTCTAAGAAGTAATGGATACTTTTATTCATGGTGTTGAGAGTGATAATATAGACAACGATTTAAATGACGAGCCACAAGATTCACCTACGATTACATTCTATCAGCGAAGCAAGGAAACACTTTACAATCTTTTATAGAGCAATGCAGTAACACAGAGGATGATATTTTTTCTTCTTTATTTAATATTGAAAATAAATTTGATATAGAAAGTGTGAATAGGTTGAAACAAAAAAAAGTTACCGACCTTTTTTTAGCAGAATAAAATAAACTTGAACAAATATATCTTTAAACCTAAAATAAAGTACGTATGTACGTATATATTAACATTTAAAAGTTTCATTTGCATTTAACCTAGCTCGTCTATCTATGTATATAATTCCTAAACAGAGCTCATAAACGAACCTCTGTAAGTACAAACATAAACCAATACATATGTACGTATATATTAACATTTAAGTGTTTCATTTGCATTTAACCTAGCTCGTCTATCTATGTATATAATTCCTAAACAGGGCTCATAAACGAACCTGTGTAAGTACAAACATAAACCAATAAAAACTCCTTAACTTAAACCCTTAGTAAGTAAAAAAATTAATAACTCAAATTATTTAACGTTTCTCTTGGTCTTTATCTTATGGAGGTTCTACTTTACTAAAAAAACCTTTTACTTTAGTTATTAATATTGATATAATTATATAATCAACTTCATAAATATTGTTACCATAAAATGATCCTACTAAAATGCTCAAATTATAAAAACACGTAAAAGACTATAGAGACATTTAAGAACTATAAATTACAAATGCACACCTGTTGTTCCAACTTATTTTGTAGAGCTTTGTACTCAATTTCTGCCTGCTTTAGTCTTTCTTCCACCTCTTTTTCGCGACGTTTCATTTCATTCTCCATATTCTGGAAACAAATTGAATTGTTTTTTTTTTAACTAAACTTATCTAAAATATAATTCCATATTATACCAAAAGTAAATGTAAAATATTTATATCTTACATTAATTTCAGCCTTAAGTTCCTTTTTCTGGTTCTCCTTGTAAAGTCTTTCTGCGGCCAACTTGGCACGAAAATCCCATAGTGTGATTTCAGCATCTTCTAACTGCTTATGAAGTTCATCTATCGTTTTTTTATGTCTAAAAGATTAAATAGAAATAAAAAATGGCAATAATTCTTTCAAAGTATTGAATTAAAAATATTTAAAAAAAAACAAAAGTTAAACTGCATCGGCCGGGAATCGAACCCGGGCCGCCCGCGTGGCAGGCGAGCATTCTACCACTGAACCACCGATGCTTGTTAATATACTGTAAAACTTAACAATATATTATTTCAAAACTAATCATCAATCAAATACTATAAATATATTAGACATAAATAATACATTAGACTTGAATGTATGCGATTAATAAATTGATTTTTTTTAAAATAAATAAACAACCAATTTTAATCATCCCATTGTGCATTCTTACGATGTGCGATATAATTAGTTAGCTTGCTTGCTTACTTACTCTTCATTCTGCATTTGCGTCGTGTATAAAACATCTTGTTGCGTGGAATTTGTATCTTGTAATAAGGTTAACGCATGCTGTAGTGAAGCCATGTGATCCGTTACATCCTAGGTAATGCAATTAAAATTGTGTTATAAATCATTACATACATAATTTATTTTAAACATAACTTAGTATTTTAAAAATATACAATTTTCTTTATTTTATTTACTTACAGCGCCATTTATCGTGTTGAACTATAACAATTTATATAACTATAACTTCTAGTTAAGTTTATCAATTTCGAAAATAGAGGGCGCTGATCCAGAGTATAAGTTAAAATTATTATAAGATAGTCATAAATTATCTTAAAATATTGTGCACTGACTACTATACTATCAGAGGAATAAAAGACTTTATTCGCAAATATTTATTTTCCTATACAGAATGAGTAGACTGTTACCAGGATAAATTTTTGTACTATTTATGTTGCGATTCATGCAAGGAGTAATTATTGGCAAAGTAAAGTTTTATTTTAGTAAGCTGAATAAAAAAAGACTATTCATACGGCGACTGGACAGAATAAAGTATACAGTGAATTTAATAATTGGCATATGCTATTATTTTTAATGATGATGATGAAAAACATTTTTAACTTATAAAGCAATAACAATGGGAATGGAGTCTATGTTCCATAAAGGTCATTTCATATCCATATAACTCCATAACGATGTATGTTGTTATATCCGATATCTTTGTGAAAAATGACATAGCAGCAACAGCATAGTTAAATATATCACCTAACTAAGTTGAAATTGAACAAATTTAAATAAAAAATTGGTAAATCCAATTGGGCATGACCTAAGCGCATTAAAAAAAAATACGTATAACATGATTATACCGAATTTTTAAAAGTAGTTTAAATACATTTCAACAGCACTATCGGCTTCAACACCCTCGAAAACCATGAAAATGACACCCATGATGAAAAAATTGGTACCTACTTCAGCCGCCATCTTGGATTTACATATCGACAGCAATATCGGCTTCAGCACCCTCGAAACCCATGAAAATGACACCCATGATGAAAAAATTGATACCTATTGCAGCCTCCACCTTGGATTTACATTTCGATAGCACTATCGGCTTCAACACCCGCGAAAACCATGAGAATGACACCCATGATGAAAAAATCGATACCTATTGTAGCCGCCATCTTGAATTTACATTTCGATAACCCTATCGGCTTCAACTTTCTCGAAAACTATGAAAATGACACCCATGATGAAAAAATTGATACCTATTGCAGCCGCCATCTTGGATTTACATTTCAACAGCACTATCGGCTTCAACACCCTCGAAAACCATGAAAATGACACCCATGACGAAAAAATTGATACTACTTACTTTTATTACGTACTGCTATTATTTATTTTGTGCTTTTAAAATATTGTAATAACAATAATCTCTCATTATTATTATAATCAAGTATTTAAGAAATTTGGTTATTCGAATATTGTGTATTTGCACAGCGATCTTTTTGAGCCGCTGCAAACAACCGAAACAATGTCCACTCACGACGGCAGTCTCTATTTAGTAATAATTTTTCATACAAGGCTGCCGAATACACAGAAAATTTCGCCATTTCGCAGCCGAAAAACAATTATTTTAACTAAAATAAACAAAATTAAACTACCATTTACATTCAATGGCTTCCCACATGATAGATGAAGAGTTTTAAAAATATATTGAGTTGAACAATTGATATTTTCAAAAGTTATCGTGTTTACAAGCCTTGCAGACTTGATTAATCCACACCATAAGCCACTAAAACCCCTTTTTTATTTAAAATAGCAATTAATCGATTTAAAAAAAATATTAATAAGTTCAAAAATCATTTATCTTTCTGACAATGTGCTTTTTATATCACTTATATGTACAATATGATTGCTAGATAAGATTTCATGCGACAAAACGTTGGAATCTTAATTTTTAGGCCCTAGTAGAACATACCGACGCGCTTAGGCACTTACGGCATGCAATAAGCTTTGGTATTTACCGAAACATTAAAATTTACTCATATGATCATATGGGATATTCTAACACTGTCACTGCACGGTGAGGTCCCATGGGTGTCGTAAGAGGCGACAAAATAAAATGAAACAGGAAATGAGCGGGAGCATCTTTTTGATAACAACTCAAAGTAAAAAACTGCGGTTGCCCCGGTGGGCAACCGCAGTTTTATACTTTGAGTGTTTGCCACGCTCGCAAGTGGGTACTTGCGAGCGTGGCAACTACGGCATAATCTCTTCTATGAGGCAATTTAGGGGGTCTATAATCAACCTACGGACATCGATATATATATACTACGTACTAGATTTCGCATTCGGAACATACACTATGTTCAACTGAACTGCACTGCAATCCGTACAGTGTGTCGTTTAGTGTGGTTTCAATCTACTAGTTAGTCTGTGGTGGCGCAACTGCGTATGCGCGACTCTACTATCTCCCGCGCATGCACGAATACATAGAGTAGTGCACATTTTTTGTTTAGAATGGCTTCTCTGGTACGTAGTACATATAACTCAATGCCTACGGAAGTGAAAGTGGGGTATGGCAGAAGAAACATTAAAGCAGAATAAATGCAGTTGAGATGAGAGCGTTAAGAAGTACGATAGGAGTTAAACTGAGTGACAGGATAAGAAATAGTGAGATAAAAAATAGTGAGATGTTTCCTACATTGTGGTCTGAAAGAAGATGTACAAATGTGACAAAAATTGAGAAAGGTATGCTGGGATGGTTTGGCCATGTAGAGAGAATGAATGAAGAACGATTGACGAAAAAAGTGTATAAGGCGAGTGTGAATGAAAGTGTTGGAAGGAGTAGACCTAGGCGGACGTTTCTAGAACAAATCAGGGACGTCTTGAAAAAAGGCCAGGTCAAGAGTACCCTAAATCGAAGAGCATGTATGAAGGGAATAATGAAAGTGGACGAAGCGAAACAAGTATGTAAGGATCGTAGCAAGTGGAAAGAAGTGGTCTCTGCCTACCCCTACGGGAAAGAGGCGTGATTATATGTATGTATGCCTTAATCTATATAAAAAGAGTGACAATGCACTAATCTAAAACAAGTAAGTAAGACAAGTTTTAAAATCAAAAACCGATCAATAAAAATGTTTATAATTTAAGGACCGTTAGTAGAGTTGATTAACGAGTCGACCAAAAGCGCCAACTTATGCAGACCATCAAGATGAGAAAAGTCACATATTTGGAGCACGTGCTCAGGCACCGAAGATACGAACTCTAACAACTCATGATCAGAAAAGTTGCCCGAGCGAGACGTGTCTGTCGGTCGCAGATAAAAAAATCATGGTTATGCAACATCCGAGAGTGGCATAAGAATAGAAAGTGCCGCCGAACTGTTTCGCCTCGCCAAAAATAGAGTGGAGTTCACTAAGCTAACTGCCAACCTTCGCTAGTCGAAAAGGCACCAGAAGAAGAAGAAAATATTGAAACACAGCACAATATAAAATTACCTTATCGCTATGCAACGCATAATTCCGTTTTGTTATGGGAGCGTGTGTTGCATGCTCTTCGGCCGGTGTGAGTCTCTGAGCGGCCCATGACACTTTACTTTCGGATTCTGTGCGCGGCGATGTGTTCTCTGCGCTTATATCCGATACGTTGTGTAAGCTCTCACCGAATACCTGGAAATAAATTATATATTTACAAATTTTATTCTACATTGCAACCCCTCACAAGTTCACAGCTGAACATAGGCCCTAACAAACAACATCTAACTTGGTTCTGAGCTGCCTGTATCTGATAACTTCTTTACTAGTTAAAATTTATACATAAAATAATTATTTAAAAAATTAATAACCAGTCATCAACCATATTTTTTTAAAGTGGATACTATATCCAATAGACGCCTACATCCTTACATCCTTAAATAAGGATCCAAATGCAGATGCATTGTCACCCTTGACCATACCAAGTACACTGAGATCTGAAGAAAACTAAGTCATCACATTCAAATCATTACCTGATTCATTTGATCTGACGGGAAGCATTGGTGTTTCACGAGTTGTAGCACTTGTATTCTTCTCGCTCCATCGTTACTTGTCAAGCCGGCGCACAATGATTTACGAACCTGAAATAATTAAAAACATATTTAAAGTATTACTTCCAGATTGTAAGAAAGAAAAGAGAAAAAAAAACATGTGTGCAGTTAACGCACGGTAGAAGTGAAACCTTCAGAAAAGGAGACCTATAGTAAAACTATTTTGTCCGTGCAGTTTGGGTCATAAATCATCGGAGTATTTCGCTCTCTCTCCCACTCACGGGCGTTAGGGGCGAGCATAGTGATGCGCATTAATAGTTGACGATAAGCGTTATCGATAGTGTATTTAGTTTCGTCATTATGTGGGTTAGTGATAAAAATGAAAAAAATTAGATTAAACAATTAAAATGCAGATGTGTTGTCAGCCGTGAGGACTAAAATCCTATAGATATATAAGTTTGTCATTTTTTGTGTCGCTTTTTATTTTAATCGAGTTTTCAATCACAACAATTCTAAAGAAGATTTAGGATTTGTTATAGGAGACGACAGCGGTCGAACTAATAACTTGCTGTTTTTGATTTTCTAAGTACTTTCAGTGTCGGAAGTTTATTTCCGTAATCAAAATTGACTAGGGCAACATCATTGATCATATCTGCATAGTGTATGTGGATAATGTGTATCTTACCTGGTGATGAGCCAGTAGCCTATTCAGCGCTGCTTCCCATTCCCTGGACAGCGGGGTCAGAGTGAGGGCGGTACGAACGCTAACTATAACCGCTTGTTGAGCCACTTCAGTGCCCACTGGACCATTCTGCAATTAAAATAGTCTAGTAGCTAGTTGTCGTCCAGTGGTCGAAATTCGACCATAATTAATTAAATTTTTAAGTTTGTATATTAAGCAAGCTGTATTTAACTATCAACTCCCAGTATACAAGGTTATTTTTCAAAGAGTAGCCAAATTTTAAACTTAAGTTCAAATATATAAATAATGATATATCGTTACTGAAGTTTTTGAAAATACGAGTAAATAAGGCTTCTACATTTATTTGAAATCATCCCAAATTGAATGTGATTTATGAACAACAACTACGCGTACGTGCGCCACAGAGCTGGCAATTTTTTAAACACTATGCTCAATGACCTCAATAGTGCCTCCCAACGGATAGGTCTTAAGATGAACATGGACAAAACAAAGATAATGTTTAATGTCCATGTCACACCTATGCCAGTAGTTGTTGGGAACACTAAGCTCGAAGTTGTTGGAGAGTATGTTTATCTGGGACAAATAGTCTGACTAGGTAAGTCAGACTATTTGTCCCAAGGGTTCGAATCCCGCACGGAACAAGTATTTGTATGGCCTATAAATAATTGTTCCGGGTTTGGATGTTTGTCCTTGTGCAATTTGTTTTTGTAAACTGCCTCCACGATACAGAAGAAAATCCTAGTGTGGGGGTAACGTTTTTTAAAAAAAAGAAAGAAAGAAAAATAACTTCGACCGAGAGGTCAATCGACGGATTGAACTCGGCTGGGCAGCGTTCGGGATATTACGAAACATCTTCTCGTCAGGTATTCCTTAAAACTTAAAAACGAGATTGTACAACCAGTGCGTGTGATGACTTATGGATCTGAGACGTGGTCCTTCACTACTGGTTGTATGAGGAAGCTCAAGCTTGCTGACAAGCTATGGAGAGGGCTATGCTCGTGGTTTCTCTACATGATAAACTTAGAAATGAAGGTATCCGCAGTAGAACCAGAGTGACCAACATAGCCCAACTGATTAATAAGCTGAAGTGGCAATGGGCCGGCCATGTAGCTTGAAGAACCGAAAACCGATGGGGAAAAAAGGTTTTCGAGTGGCCTCGTACCGGCGGGCGAGGTGTAGGGCGTCCCCCCACTACCACCACACCCTGGAGTGGCAACTTGGTAAGACATGCAGGAAGTCGATGTATGCAGGTGGCTAAGGACCGTGCTTTGTGGCATTTCTTTGGGGAGGCCTATGTTCAGCAGTGGACTTGTGAAAAAGGAACATTAGCTATGCCTACACCAGTGCGCTTTCCTGTTCATCTTGCGTCTTTCTCTAACGTATGCCTGAGCAACCATAGCGCATGCAATAGCGCATGCGCTGAAACTAGTTCGACAACAGCGCATGCCTCTAGCTAACGCTGATCCGTCACCGCATTTTAGTAAACAAAATGGCGAAAGATAAAGTTAAAACATTAGATAATGAGTGTTATATTATGTAATTTTTTGCTCCACTAATTTCAAATGCTTGTAGAAAGTGGCTACAGTCATTCGTGTGAAATTTTTAAAAATAATGTTATTTTTTAGCTCCTAATCTTTCAATATTGTGTTGTTCCGTTTCTTCAAATCATCTTTCATCCAGATTCTCCTTTTCTTGCGTTTTTTCCCTGCACTTAACACAAAGTATGCCGCACCTATAGCTACTAGTGCCGCGTCCATCTCTAAACAAACCTAACTGAGGCGCGTTAGGGGTATAGACGACTTGCATGCAACAAGCGCGGCACAGCGCTTGACGCAAGACGAACTGAAAGTTGAAACGTAAAATGAACATGAAAGCGCACTGGTGTAGACATAGCTATTAGAAATCACACAAAATTCACAGTTTATTCAGTCAATCTGTCAGTAATTATTTTGTTAGCAACATTTTATAATTGTTTGGCGACAATCTCCACTCAACTTGGCACCGCTGAAGGGACTGCAGCACCGCCCAAATTTCGACGGAATCAAAGGCTTTCTCATAGTCCACATACGCCAGACATAGTGGCAAATTGTACTCTTCGGACTTCTGTACAACTTGCCGAAGGGTATGTATGTGGTCTATGGTGCTAAAGCCCTTTCGGAAACCGGCTTGTTCGGGAGGCTGGAAGTCGTCAAGTCTGCGCGCGAGACGATTCGTAATGACTCTCGAAAACAGCACGTAGACGCGGCTCAGAAGGGAAATCGGTCTGTAGTTCTTCAAGAGAGCGTTGTCACCTTTCTTGAAGAACAAGACCACCGCACTTCTGCTCCACGCCTCCGGTGTAATGCCACCATGGAGGACAGAATTAAAGAGCTCCGCTGTAATTCCATCCTCGCCTGGGACCTTACCGTTTTTAAGGTGCTGGAGAGCCATCCTAATCTCGCTCAGACTGACATCCGGGATATCTTCGGAATAGTGTCGGATGAGACTCGCTCTTGGATCGTTACTCACACTTGCGTGTGGCTCCAACGATGATGTGTACAGCTGCCCATAGAACCTCTCAATCTCACTCAAAATCTCAGGTGTCCCGGAAACGATGCTGCCACATTCTGTCTTCAGCTTTGACAGTTGGCTCTTTCTGGCAGACAGATCTCTGGCAAAGACTTTGGAGCCTTGGTTCCGCTCGATCGCTTCTTCAATACGAGCTGTATTGAAGTTGCGTAAGTCCCGCCGCATGCATTTGGAGATCTGTCTGTTCAGATGCCTGTATGCTGTCAAGTCTGTTGAAGAATGTAGCTTCATCTCCCGTCTAACAGCCATGAGATTAAGAGTGTGATCGGAGAGTTTTTGTGTTCTTCTGCGGCGGGTCTTGCAGAACTTAGCTCCGACCGCATGGACAGTTTCCACGAGCTTGTCATTCATATCGTCCACTTCATTGCAGTCTTCCAGGCACTGAAAACGGTTTTGTAACTCGAGCTGAAAGGTTTCGGGACTTTGGAACAGAGCACGAGGGGGACGGAGCGTTGACTTCATTAGACGAGACCTCTCCAACTTAACGTTTAGGTTCAGTGTGCCTCTAACCATTCGGTGATCGCTACCAGTTTTCACCCTCGCGATCACGGAGACATCACTGAACAGTTGTCGTCTGGTCGTCATAATGAAGTCAATCTCATTTTTTGTGGAACCGTCGGGGCTCGACCAGGTCCACTTCCTGTGGGGCCGCTTCTGGAAGAAAGAGTTCATCATAAAGAGTATATCGAAGTGTTGAAGTGCTTGTACAGTAGGGCTACGATGGCTATCCGAGTACAGAACCAGAATACGAAACCTATCCAATTGCAGAGAGGTGTAAGACAGGGTGACGTCATATCCCCGAAACTCTTCACCGCTGCATTGGAAAACGTTTTCAAGCTTCTGGACTGGAAAGGATACGGTATCAACATCAATGGCGAGTACATCACTCACCTTCGATTTGCCGACGATATAGTCCTTATGGCAGAATCGCTGGAGGACCTAAGCACTATGCTCAATGACCTCAATAGTGTTTCCCAACGGATAGGTCTTAAGATGAACATGGACAAAACAAATATCATGTTTAATGTCCATGTCACACCTATGCCGGTAGTTGTTGGGAGCACTAAGCTCGAAGTTGTTGACGAGTATGTTTACCTGGGACAAATAGTCCGACTAGGTAAGTCCAACTTCGACCGAGAGGTCAATCGACGGATTCAACTCGGCTGGGCAGCGTTCGGGAAGCTACGACACATCTTCTCGTCAGACATACCTCAAAACCTTAAAACGAAATTGTACAACCAGTGCGTGCGTGTTGCCAGTGATGACTTACGGAACTGAGACGTGGTCCTTCACTGCTGGCCGTATGAGGAAGCTCAAGGTCGCTCAGCGAGCTATGGAGAGGGCTATCCTCGGAGTTTCTCTGCGTGATAAACTTAGGAATGAGGATATCCGCAGTAGAACCAGAGTGACCGACATAGCCCAACGGATTAGTAAGCTGAAGTGGCAGTGGGCCGGCCATATAGCTCGAAGAACCGACAACCGATGGGGAAGAAAGGTTCTCGAGTGGCAGCCTCGTACCGGTAGGCGAAGTGTAGGGCGTCCCCCCACGAGATGGAGTGACGACCTGGTAAGACATGCAGGAAGTCGATGGATTCAGCAGTGGACTTGTGAAGGGCTGTAATGATGATGATGATGATGATGAATCTCCACTCTGTGCGACTGTTTGACAACTGACTACTATGTTTGATATTTGACATTGCAGACAATAGGTACAGTTTTCTCTTCATGTATATAGGTAAGCTTACAGACCAGAATGCTGAAAAGCAGCTTGAAGAACCGACAATATTACCAAACCTAATGCATGCTGAAAAATGACACTCACTATAGTTGTAGCTGTCTCAACCCACCCATATTCGATGTAATGCTTAGACAATAATATCAAAGTTAGACTCAGTTTCATGTCACAGACAAATGGACCATCACATTCTCAAACCCACAAAAAATTGTCTCAATTTTTTTTTTGTAAAACAACTCTACGATACAGAAGAAAATCATACAGTGGATTGTAACTTTCTAACAAAAAAAAAAGATCGTGTTTTTCTATACCTAAATATTAGTTTTGGTTGAAATTCAAATCAATAGCAACTTAATGCTGCTATGTTTCATATGGTGAGTGTAGAGAACTGGAGACCCTATTTATTGAAAACGAGGCATTCCATCTTAGTCCACACGTGGTGACAACGCATCTGCATTTTGGTTCGTAATCGAGGATAGATGTAGATGTTTATCGGCCACAGCAACCACTTACCATCACGTGGGCTGTGTGCTCGTTTGTCCCCCTTATCCTATAAAAAAAAGACTCGCGTCACAACAATCAGGTACTCTAACTAATAGGTCACAAGGTTGTTTTGTTAATGGGTGCTTTATCACTATGTGGGTAGTGATTAGGATAGTTCATTGATCATTTCTTGAAAAATAATATTGCAAGAGTTATCCATACCTGTGATGTATATTGTAGTACACTATATAATGTGTTTTCGAAGGAATCTGGGCTTACTTCTTGCATAACACATTCATGTGTCTCACTCGAATCGCACAAAGCTCCAATCACTTGTAGCTACAAAGAAAACACAATGACTTTTACATGTAAATTACATTCAAATGGTTAATCTGCCATTTGTCAGAATAGCAATCTGAAGCATATTTTTACGTACAGGATGAGTAGAAATGTCGATTAGAATATGCAATGGATGTATCTTTTCACATGCACAGTAAGTAAACAATCACATCCTTCAAAAAAGCCGAGCTTCTTCATATCAGTCTTTAACAATCGCAGAGGTTGTATGTCGATTTCTCATAGACACTTCCCGTAGTGTTTTACAATAGCGTTCCCGAGGTTAATAATTTTCTGATCGCCAGCGCACGCTATTATACCCCATACGAGAAGTATAGAACATTCTGAGTCAATCTGGTTCATTTAAACATTCACCTCATTCAATGAAAAAATACTAGAACACTCGCGATTAACGATATGTTCAAAAGAGAAAGGGCTTTTCATACGTACACATAAGGTTGCGTCGTGCTTCCATCAATTACTTTATGCATATGCTATTCTTACGGCTAAACATTATTAACATAAAGGTTAATTTAGTCTGCTTTCGGGAACATTCTCATTCAATGCAGTGTAATACGCACTATTTAGTATTAACATTTATTAATTAATTTAGAACACTGCTGAAGAAAGGCCTCGTCCATATATAGCCTCATAGAGGGATATTTGCCATAGTTGCCACGTTCGGTAGACGGCAGATGCCTTTTTTTAAATAATTATTAAAGAGTCAGGAAGATTCATCTTCTGTTTTAGTTTACTTCTGTGGCCCCTTACGACATCCACGAGATAATATTGGGCATTCCATTGCCATACACGACATATCTGAAATATTTTAAGACCTAAATTATTTTAGATGGGAATCAGGTCTAAGTTACAAGTGATCTTTAAAGGAGTCTTATATAGAGACCGCCAATTTGCCTACCAAGCGTGGCGATGATGGCAAAAACACAGATGGTATAGGACTGTTGTGCTTTTAGTTTATTTAAAATTCTCTGCCGCGCACACGGAACGGGGTTAAGGAAAAATTAACTTCTAATAGTAAGCAAAAGCCGAATTCAAAGAACTGAATGGTATAAAATAATTTCACATTCTGAAATTGGTGTTAGAACTTAGTATATAGAAGAATTAAAATCCGATATATGCGAAGCTAATAAAAGCGTGTTAATTAAAAATAAGGCAATCAAAATCATACCCATTGTAAACCTGCTTCTCCCGGTTCTAATGCTGGTGGCACAAGTAGACTTGGCAAACCGTCGCTAATCACCGAAATCAGCTCTTGTGGCAGATGATCTTCATCTAAAATTAATTAACTATATAGAAGTAGCTAACCATGTAGTGGCGGTGTAAGAATATCCACTACGCCATTTCATCCCATAGGTGGTAAAAGGCGCCAAAGAGAAACTGAATTAGGAAATGGGCAGCAGCATCACCCTGACAAATTCACAAAATTAAAAAAAAAACGCAGTAGCCAACCTGCCTTCCAAGTGTAGCAACTAAGGCCTTATCTTCCCTATGAGGTAATTTATGTAGAAGGGCCATGTTCAACAGGGGACTTTCATAGGCTGTAATGGAAATGATAAATTTATTGTATTAACTCTGGCTACTGTGGATAGCGTTAGCTTAGTATAAGCAGACAAAGCAGACAAACCTTCGAGTTCTTCCAGAACATCTATCTCCATGGCTTTGGTACTTGCACTTGGAGGCTGCTCCGTGACTGCATCTGAAAAATAAACAAATATTAACATTTAATGTCATACTTAGTACCCAATACACATAACTACTCTAGAACTGATGCAGTTCCAGGCATGCAGTGGCACTTCCAGTCTGCAACCTGTTTCTATTAAACTATGCAAAATACAGAGTATTTTTGCATGGATATAATGATAAAAATTGTGTCTGATTTTGAGAATGTTGTTGAATAATTGTTGTTCTAAGTTGAACAATATGACCTTAGTATTTAAGACATTTAAAGTATTTTTTATTACCCTATATAAGTACTTAAGTAACCGACAACCAAAGGGGAAGAAAGGTTCTCGAGTGGCAGCCTCGTATCGGTAGGCGAAATGTAGGGCGACGCCCCACTAGATGCAGTGACAACCTGGTAAGACATGCAGGAAGTCGATGGATGCAGGTGGCTCAGGACCATGCTTTGTGGCATTCCTTGGGGGAGGCCTATGTTCAGCAGTAGACTTGTGAAAGGCTATATAAGTATTTATTTTAATTTTATTATTACATCAATGTATAACAAATTATGTCAAATACAATTTCACGTACCTTGGTTTTCTATCGCTGTTGCAATAGTGGAAAAATTTGAATACAATGGCTGTTCATGACAACTTCCAACATCTGAAATTTGTTACAAGTTTGTATTTTAAAGATGTCAGTATGCTTAGGCAAACACATTATTAGATAATTAATACTTTGTAAATTTATGAAATAGTTAGCTTTCTTTTTTGCTTCGTAGTAACTAATGCTACATGAAAATAACTACACACCTGATGATCCAATCTCTACCAATGATTTTGATAAATCATCTTGCTCTTTGTTGTAATTGTGTTCATTTGTACAATCTCCTGAAATATAATTCAAAACGTTGAAAAATTTGCCAGTGACTGAAATTTAAATAAAATATTTGTAGAAACCACAGTGTTTACCATATAGTGTTTAGTATAATTTACAATTAACATCAATTAAGAGATTTGGACATACCAGCCATTCTAATCTCTACCACACCTTCTGTGACATTATCTTCATCTTGCTCTTTACAGTAATTATGTTCATTTATGACATCCCATCCTGAAAAAAATACATAATAATTTTTTTTATAGGATATGGTGACAAACGAGCTCACAGTTCACCTGATGGTAAGTGGTTGCTGAGACCCATAAACATCTACATTTATCCTCCATAAAGAATCAAAAAGCAGATGCATCATAACCCGTGGGGACTAAGATGGAATACCTCTTTTCCAGTAAAATTGGTCTCCGGTTCTCTACACTCACCATACGAAACACAGCAGTGTTTAGCTTTTTTTTTTATAGGATAAGGTTGACAAACGAGCACACAGTCTACCTGATGGTAAGTGGTTGCTGTGGCCCATAGACATCTACATTTATCCTCGATCACGAATCAAAATGCAGATGCATTGCCACCCGTGAGGACTAAGATGGAATGCCTTGTTTCCAGTAAAAAGGGTCTCCGGTTCTCTACACTCACCATACGAAACACAGCAGCATTAAGCTGTTATTTTACGCTGGTATTCTGTGAGAACATGGTCCTTCCTCGGTCGAGCCGACCTATTCATGCTACAACTATACTACTAATATAGCTGCAGCATGGCTCTACTACGTATGAGAATCATAGCAAATAATGATGTCAATCACATTTGTACCCAACTGATCATATAAGTCAAAGAGTAAAAAGCGATAGTTCTTAGTTAACCAACCCACAAAATGCTTATTTTGGAGAAAAATTTAACAACATTCAATCTATCTCTATTTTCTGTGATGTAAGTGCTGTTAGCCTATATGACTCTTACACCTTCATCTGATACAGAGCTATTTAAAAAAGGGAAAGGCAATGATGATATGAATGGTGATGATGAAGGTTTATGATTTGGTATTATTACTGATCATCATGCTGTTAAAATTGTCAAATGATTTAAAATGCATAACAAATGTGGTCCAATTTAAAAACAGATTGAGGTTGTATCTTCTGGAAAATAGTTTTTATAGTGTAGAAGAATATGTAAATTCAATTGTAAGAAATAATAATTATGGACTGATGATAAAATACAGTTAAATAACTGACATATTTCTTTTTGTAATCAAATTATTTTGACATATTTCTTTATTGTAATTTTATATTTTGACATATTACTTTATTGTACTTTTATTTCCTAGTATTGTAATTTTATTATTTTGATGTGGATATTTGATTGAGTATTGCATAAATGATAATGTTATTTTTTAAATCTTATTGAATTAACATGTAATTTCCAACACAATGTATTTTGTTATGTAATGGAATAAAAGACTATGACTATGTCCAGGTGGGGGTAAGCAGACCCCGCCTGTAAGTGCTCACATTCAATCAGCATCTTTGGAAATTTGTAATAAACTACTGCTTTTGTTACAAGCTTCATTATTGTGATACTTTTGTAACAATTTAAGCAATCACCTATACAATTTTGTCATAGATACAATTTTATTATGTGGCAGTAGGCATTATATATACTATCTAGTAATAATTAAAAATGGCTTGCGAAGCAATGAAAAAGAAAATAGTTATTTTATTAAAAATGTATGGTTCGATACTACATTACTGGTGTCTAGTTAATACCTACTTAGAAATCACAACTTTCACCAGCCGAAATTCAAGCACCATGAATGGAAGTAATAAAATGACTCGCCTGTTGCAGTCAGAGGCACACCATGAGCTATTTCCTCCTCAGTAATCAAGCAAGGGTAAGAGTATCGAAGTCTTTTGCCTTCATAATCAAACTGATATCTATCAAAATGTTTTTCACAAACATGTTTGCCGAGTAACTGATCTTTGGAAAGTCCTATGAGCTTGGGATTTGTGGGTGCTATGAAAGACATCCACAAGTTCCTCAATTTATCGTTTCTAGGGAAGCTAAAAAACCGGTGCGTTTCATTTGTTGAATTGCAACCATAAACACAGCACTTTTTGTATCCCATTATGATGGTATGCAATATACCAACGACAAACACAAAACGGAATATTGTCACCAATAACGGAGGACTCAACTCAGCATAAATGCGAGGAAATACACTTTGACACATATATTCTCTTAAAGAATAGTTTCGGAGGGAACTTGAACGGTGGTGGATTGCTGCTCTTGTACCTATTATTGTTTTAATAATGATTTGAAGTGGATTTTGATATGTAAAAGTGGTGCGGTTTGTGCCAAAGATTACACTACAATGTTTGTTATACACAGAACACTAATACCCTTAGGCGGGATGTTATATATATATATAGGGAAGTTTGTGCACAGAACATGGGGGCTACACAGGGCTACACACGGTCACTTTTAACTGTCAGTTTTGACTGACCAGTTTTAACTGACAGTGAAAACTGAGTGTGTGTAGCACAGAACACTAATACGTGTGTAGTGTGTACTGCAAAGTACTCTGTGGTGTACTGGTGTGTACGATGAAAACTGTCAGCCTTATACCCTTAGCCCTTAGGCGGGATAAATGTCAACTTCAAACAAAGAAAATGGCACCCATAATGCACGCCATCTCTGTCGTGCCACCTAAAACTTTTTTGCGCGGGAATTTTGATACGTGATTTTTTTTTTAGTTGACGTCTTGCTTGTTTCGTTTCAAAAATGGTTTAAGAATGTAAAATACCATATAGATAGATATAGCTTGTAGTTTTTCGTTTCAATGATATATATTGCTAAATTAAAACGAATACAAAAGCACAAAGTTATCTGTAAATTATGGTACTTTACATTCATAAACCACTTTTGAAACAATTAGCAATCATTTTAATATAAAAAAGGAAATATTTTCCAAGTAAAAGTGGTTTTTGAGATACATTATTTTTATTTACATTACATACTTGTCCACATTGGTACATAGAAAAACCGTTGGTACATTGATGGACGGAAGTGACGGAGTAATTATCTAATTTTTAACTTTATGCATGTAAACAGTTCTCAACAGCTCTTAACTAAATATCGATTTAATAGTTAAGTAGTTATGTAATGCCCCATCCACACGCTTGGCAAACAACGGCGAACAGCATACACCAAACAGCAATCACGAACGTGTGGATGGCTGTTTGCCTGTTTGTTTGTTTGTTTGTATGTGAATGCCAGTGATCGGCGTTGGTGTCGGTTTTGTGCACCGATCAAAGGGTGTTCGACAAACGTGTTTGCTATGTATCCACACGTTTGCCAATCAGTCAGTAGTACGCGCGAGCTTGCGGCTTGCGGGCGGCGGAAGGAGTTACTAGTGGCTATTATTATTATTCTCTACGCCAATGTTACCAATCCGAAATTTGTCTCGGAGGTAAATATGATTTCAGAAGTTGAGTTTACTACCAATTCTACTTCGAAAAGTTAGTAGATCTACCACCTATATTTTTTTTAAGTGTTCTAGAGATCTCCCAATAATAATATGATTGACTCCTAATAAATGTTTCTATTGGGTACTCGTAACAAATATTTCACATCTTTTTATAAGGAGCCCCGTGTGAAAGCAGAATCATTGATCATCAATTCCCAAAATAAAATCAGAAAAAATTATATAAGATTAGTATATCCTATATATGGATAAGATTAGTATATCCTGATTTAATAGTTTTTAGACTTTCGTAGTTACACAACAAGGAACCCTTATAGTTTCGCCATGTCCGTCCGTCTGTCCGCGGGTTTGCTCAGACTCTAGGTGTTACAAATCTGTAATTTGGCACAGTTACAAATATTAATCACGCCTAGAAAACTGTGAAATAAAATCTTAAAAAACATTTTCATTTTGGGTACTTCCCATATAAGTAAATGGAGGATGATTTTTTTATGTGTCTATTCTATTATGTGGGGTATCGTTGGATAGGTCTTTCAAAAACATTGGGGGTGTTGAACAACATCTTTTCGATTCAGGGGTCCGTTTGTGAAATATTTAGCTTTAAAGTTTTATTTTTCATTTGAGTCAAGAGCCCCCCCCCCCCTCCCCCACCAACTTAACCGTTGTTTATCGAAATGTGAAAAGTATACCTAGTAGGAGTTTATATAATGCAGTTAAAAGGAAAACTATCACAGCTAATTAGAATCAAGAAGTTAACGAATTATAGTTGACCAACTTATAAAATACACTTGGATTAGTAAAAAATTCGTTACATTTTCATAGAAAAGACCTAAGACTAGCTACATTAATAACTTTGAAATGTTGTTGTAAGCTGTTAAAATTAAACATTTTATGAATAAAACGGCTCATATGCATTACTATTAGTTTTGGCGAAGCACTTAAGAAATCAGTATATCATGTTCCTTCCATAAAAAATAAACAATTGTGCGTTTTGAAAATATTGCTATTAGATTGTATAAGGCGCTTCGAATAAAAAGATAATATAATATGTTAAAAGTAAATAGATTCAATATAATGTCGAACGAAATTTCAGGGTTAGATTCCCCGGTCAAGTATTAATTTCATAAAAGTTTGTTTTTAGATTAATTTAGAGTCACGTATTACATAATAATCAGCTATTCAAAACGAATAAAAGCGTTCAAACCAAACTTATTTGAACCTGAAGACAATTTATAGCAGTGATAATTGAGATTCTATGGTAAATAAATTCTTCAATACAATAACCTTGAGAGCAATACATATAGCCTTATTTTTAAATAAAAATAGGTCAACCCGAAAGTAATCGCTGCCACAAGCTCGTCATCCGTCATGTTTGCCTATCCGGAATATACTAGCACGTTCGCCGAGCGTGTGGATGCCGTGTTTGTGTTGGGTGAATGTGGTCGGTGTTTGTTCGTGTATGGTGAATGTGGCAAACACCAAGCGTGTGGAGGCGGCATAAAGCAGAATAGTCTATTTTTAAGAGGTAGGCGTGTTTTAGCGATGTATGAGAAATAAGCATTCTCGTAACTTCGCTAAAACACGTGTCAACGATTATTAGTTTATAGCTAATTACTTCATCACTTCACCTATTAAGTAAACGGCATATGTAACATGACATTTAAGCAAAATGGAAAGTAAAGGTACATTGGTTTTATATAAAAAAGATGAGACAATCTAATATAAAAACTTCAAGAAAACATTATTTACCTTCACATTCTACAAACAAGGCAATAGCTTTGCAATATTATGTCTAAACTCCAATAAACTGATTATACTATAGATGCCACCAATAATATTACATTTGTAGAAATTATTTTCGTTATATTATTGTTATTGACTGCATTAAAAAATAATAAGTCAACATTTTCATGTCATTAATTAGCACTACCTTAAGTGTAATTTCTTTAGCCCTGTGTAAGTATGGTCCTAAAATTAAAATCAGTTTTACCTGAGACTAACCAAACGCAAATAAATATATATTACACAACAAAATGATACTAAATCACAAATGAAAGATATGGAAATATCAAATGTTTATTGCGTCAGTCTCCAGAAAAATTATTTAATTTTAATCTATGCAAAATTTGACATGTTAAACACATCCTAAGACACCCTATTTAGAATATTGAGTTTAAAGCACAATACAGTAACCAAAAATCTATTGTATTAAAGTTAACTACTTTCTTTTTATGAAGTGTTATCTTTAACATATTAACTGCATTTGACATAGCCGAATAACTGAAATATTGTCCACATTAAAAATTCAGTGTATGTTTATTATGTTACATGTGGTAATTACTACCCAGGACAAAGTAGTCTGCATTAACTGGTACTATCAACCTAACGTCAAAATGTCACCACCGAAGTGATTGTGACTGTACATACAGAAAAGGTAGTTCCATGTAATATCCTATTTATTCTGCAGGATATCAATTTTTCTTTTAAGAGCAGATGCAGAGTACTATTCTGCAAATTGCCGATTTTTCAAAATACAAAATCTCCTCATACAAATGTGAAATACGCTATTAAATAAGTAATGTATATTCATATCTTTATGTTCTGGACATTTATCGAGAAACTCCAAATTTATTGAGTTTTTGAACAAAACTTTAATTGTCCCTTTTAATTTTTTTTTTATATGCTTCTGCCTCTAAAAAATCATAAATCATCGTAGCACTACTCGTACTTTCAATACAGTTAATGAGGTTTTTAGAGGCGTATTTAAGGGACTTTTTTAGATCACTATATTCTTTAAAGTCAATAACACAAGACACAAGAGAGATCACATACTTTTACAAGATTATATACAAAGATTTTTTTACAAATTTCACATTTGTTCTATGTACATTCAGCTACATTCAAATGTAGAATTTACACTTTCTTCTAACTCATCGGTTAAAATTGTGGCATAAGCTGTGTGTGTGGCTGTGGGTGGAGACAATAAAGTTTTAATATTTATCAATATAACTTGATTTTGGTCTTCTTCACAATTTCCTGTCCCAATAAAAGATAAGTTGCTAAGGACAGCCGTATTAAGACCCGCAACAAACTGCCCAGCAGTGGGATTTGAATTGCAACCGCAATTGGCCCGAATGCATCCAAAAAGATTTTCTAACGGGTCCTGCTGGAGCCTTCTTGTTTCCAAACTTTTTATTGATTTATGTTTAGAACTGAGATTTCTCCAGATTCGTTCTATTCCATTGATTGACCATATCCAACCTTCTTGGGATGGAGGGGCTCGTTTGCATCCCAAAAACGTCATTTCTTTAAAAAAATTCTTCATTAAAGTAAAATGTGTGAGATGTGGTGTATTATTTTGTGGGTTTGTGTATTAAGTGTAGACACTTAGTGGCATGTGAACAAAAACTATATAGAAACACTACGCGTTCATGTGAGCTATTAGTGGAAACCAGTGAATCGAGAGTTACCGTGTTGCAAGGGTAAAATACGGTGTTTCTAGATCAAAATTACGGTGGATTTACTAAAAGTTTACCTTGTAAATTACCGTGTATCTTTTCGAAGAAATATTATTATTAAAATTATTATTATTGGGGTTATCTATAAAGTTTTCCCATCTGGTTGGGCTGTTTAAATATATAATTATAAACGAAATATATAAACATACATAAATATCAATAAAATAGTATAAATACATAAAAAATACAAAGATATATAAAAAAAACCCAACCAGATGGAAGCCCTCGGCAGGGGAGACCAAACGGCCGAGGGTTAGGGGGAAAGGGAAAGAAACCGGCGGACGATGCGGGCGGTATCGAGGAGCACCGCCTTCTGCATTTGAGCTTAGAGCGGTCCGTCACGGAGTCCCAGTCGCCTCAGATGACCCGAGAGGCTAACTGGGATTAACCCGTTCGCAGAAACGACCACAGGAATAATTTCGGCCGGCAGACCACCCCACATGTCGGTCACCTCGTGAGCCAGGTCCAGATATTTTGTCAGCTTATCTGTTTCGGCTTTCACGAGGTTCTCGTCATAGGGAATGGTAATGTCGACCAAAAATATCCTTGACTGTGCCCGGTCCATCAGCACAATATCAGGCTTATTCGCAAGAATAGTCCTGTCTGTGATGATGGCCCGGTCATTTTCGAGCACAGCTTCCGGTAAGTACTTATAATATGGCAGTTTCCGATCCACGAGACCGTATTTCAGAGCGAGGTCCTGGTGTAGAATCCTGGCTACTAGGTTGTGTCTGTGCAAATACTCAGAATTAGAAAGCGCCGAACAACCGGAGATGACATGCCTAAGTGACTCACCGGGATGGCGACAAGCTCGACAGATGTCGACGGTGCCATCCTTTAGGATGTATCTCCGATAATTGTTGGTCTTAATAACCTGATCCTGTATTGCACAGACAAAACCTTCAGTTTCCCCAAAGAGGTCACTGAAACGTAGCCAGTGGAGGGAGGCGACTGTGTCTACGAAAGGCTCATGAAGGGCCTTGTAGAACCTCCCGTGGAGCTCCTTCTCCTTCCATACGGTCTCCCGGTCGGAAATGCTCTGTACTGCCGGGTCTTGCCATTGCTCGTTGGCCAAGGATAGAGGGGTTAGCCCTTTATCACAAGAAATAACGTCCCTATAGTATGGATCATCCGCTCTCGTCAGAAAGTAATTACGGAGGCTGCACACTTCGCGATTATGCATGATAAGCGCGCTTAAAAAGCCGCGCCCACCATGCTTTCGCGGCAAGTACAGCCTCATTACTGACGATCTCGGATGATGCATCCTGTGGGACGTCATTATAGTGCGGACTTTTCTGTCCAGAGCGTTCAGTTCGGTCTGAGTCCACCTGAGTATGCCAAAGGTATACATGAGAACAGGCATGATCCAACCGTTATATGCGTGCGTCTTATTCACACCGGACAAAAGGCTATTAAGCACTTTGGTCAAGCGTGCATAAAACACATCGCAAACTGACCGTTTCATACCCGACTCATCTACACCGATGTTCTGTGACATACCCAGGTATCGGTATGTTTCAGCCTCGGAAAGGATCCTTATGCTGATGGGCATAGATAAGTCTATGCCCTCAGAGTTAGCAACCCTTCCCCTTTCGACATGGAGGATCGCACACTTATCCGTCCCCAGCTCCATTCTAATAGAATTGCTAAAATCACAAGTGATGTTTAGCAATTCCATAAGATGAGAGCGACTGGAGGCGAATAATTTGAGATCATCCATATAGAAAAGGTGGGTCACTTTTGTACCTCCTCTCCGAAGCTGAAATCCCCTCCCGGAGCCCTCCAGTAAGGTACTGAGAGGGTTCAGAGAGAGGCAGAACCAGGTTGGACTCAAACAATAGCCCTGGAAGATACCCCTTCTTATCCTTATGTGGTTCTCCGCAGCCGTCATCCGCTCGCCTAGATGACAAAGGATCGTACTCCATTGCCCCATACACTGCCCGAGGAAGTCTCGAACTGTACAGTCAACCTTGTACAGCTCGAGGACCCTCTTAAGCCATGTATGAGGCACCGAGTCGAATGCCTTTTTGTAGTCTATCCAGGCGGCGGAGAGGTTCCGACGGTTGCGTTTAACCACCTTGCCAATGACCGCGTCAATGAGGAGTGGTTCCTTGGTTCCACGACCACCGCACCGACATCCATTTTGAGCGCGCGACATCACCTGGTTTGAGTTCAGGTGACGAATGATTCTCGCGCTCAAAATGGATGTTAGTGTCTTGTATATGGTAGGTAGACACGTTATGGGGCGGTATTTGCTCGGGTCTGTGGAATCCCGGTCCTTAGGAACCAAATGAGTGATCCCAGTAGTGAAGAGGCTCGGGAGCGACTTTTGGTCGAGAGCCTCTTGAAGCTGTCGGGCGAGCACAGCGTGACACACCATGAACCCCTTCAGCCGCCTCAGCTACGTCATCCGGCGTTATGAGGACGGGGTCCATGGGTGTAACATTCGCACACTGACTTGCCACGACTTCCGTCCAAGGGCCCTCGCTGTGGTTTACGGGCTCTGACCACAGGCCACGCCAGAATGCGATAGTGTCGGCCTGATTCGGTGCTGGGCCTGTTCCACGTACCATTGGTCGCTCCAGTGATTCATAGAGCCTCTTCTGATCACTCTGGAAGAGACGATTCTGGTTGAACCGTGTCGACCTCTCGGTATATCGCCGAATCCGCTTCCCCCAAGCAGCGATTCTCTGCTTCAGGTCGTCTATGCGCTCCGTCAGTTTTTGCGTTATATCCGGCTGGGACAAACTGATATTTGTCCCAGCAAACGCCATCCTGACGGTGCGCACAGTTCTCGGCCTATTATTGCCTGACCTGAAGCTTATCAGTCTGCCGATAAGGGCCCTTGCCTTTGCGATACGGTCCTCAATCCTTCTTCTCCAGGCTGGGATGGCGCTACTTTGTCTAGTAGCGCGTCCAGCCGTGGGAACTTTGGCGCCAATAATGCGGCAAACTGCCAGTGCGGCGCCAAAAAGAATTGAGTCCGTCTCGCAAAGGTCCTGGCTGGCTTCTAAATAGGTCACCAGCATTGGGTTGAGAGCCTTCACGACAGCCCGATTCCGCTTGCTTAGGGGCATGCGCGGGAGTCGCGGTCGATTTTCGAGAGGCATACTGCGCGTTTCCAAAATAGCCTCTTCCAATGTACTCCTCATTTGCTCTAGTTCTAGTTCCTGGGCGACTGTTCCATCATCGTCTGAACCAACCATAACTGAAAGATTCACGGCGGCATCCACGTGTGCTGGTTGCTCTGCATTTTGTGGCGCCGCATCCTCAGCCGTAGCATTGTCATCCGATGAGGGTACAGCCTCACGTCGTAGCCGTTCGAGTTCGGTGCTATCGAATATGTTTGAGCGCAAGATATACCGAACTCGGTCTGCCAGGTTTTGCTCGGTGACGGTTATAGTTGGCTCCAGCTTAGCAAAAAGTCGATGCATCCTAGCCCGATACGCAAAACCTCCAATTTCTCCCCCTTTCGCCCTAAAATACGCCCGCAATGCGTTGCTATTCATCTGCATTGACCAACGCATGCGGCGTACTCCACCAGTGGCGGGTGCTGATTGCTGGGCCCGCGAAGACCCTGCCAACACCAAGCCAGCTGGTGGGGATGATGGATGCGAGGGGCTGCTAGGTGGTCGTGCAGCACCTCGCACTCGGCTGGCGGCCCGCATGCTGTCGCGTCCAGCGCCAGCTCCAGACGCGCCCCGGCGACCCCCAGGCAGCGGCCCTAAACGCAGTCTATTTCCTTCCATCATCCATAAATTGGGCGTCAATTAACGGGAGACGCCCAGGCCCGGCACCGTTTCATGATTTGGCCGAAAGCACAAGCGGGCCCAAATTAGCACCCTCAATTCTGCCGAGGCACGGCGCTCACACCTATTGGCAAGATGCTGACTGACTGCGCTGACGTAGCAGTTTTGTCAAATAACCATTACGTCAGCGGGCGATGGGGTCGTCACTTCCCTACGCCTAATTATTATTATTATTATACTAACAGGCAGGCAGTTGAGACAACTGATAATGCCTGTATCCTGTTTTTGTCCACTAGTTATTCTTTTTGCAGTTCAGAAAGTGATTATCTAATCTATTTTTGAATTGGTTCACGTTTTGAGCTGAGACTACGTGCTCTGGAAGCTTATTCCACTCGGTGACTACACGGTTACAAATGAAGTGCTTGTGGGGGTTGCTGTTTGAAAAGCTGGTACATAGCTTAAGATGGTGGCCCCTGAGGTGAGAGTTTTCATTACGAATAAATAATTTGTCAAACTCATCAATGTCGTAATGCCCATTTAAGATCTTAAAGGTCTCAATTAGATCTCCTCGGTTCCTGCGACTTTTTAATGTTGTAAGTTTTAAAACTTTCAAACGTTCTTCATAAGACTGCCATTTCAATAGCCGTGGTACTTTAGTGAAGCTACGCTGTACTTTTTCCAACACTTCAATGTCCTTGATAAAGTATGGATTCCAGACTTGAAATGCGTATTCTAATATTGGCCTGATAAATGTTTTGTGGATCTTAAGCATCATTTCCGGTGTTAGGACAGCGAAAGCTTTTCTCACGAGGTAGATTATTCCCTTAGCTTTCTTAACAATTGTTGATATATGCTCTTCTCACTTCAAGTCTTCTGCAATTTTGACTCCTAAATCTGTTTGTATTTTAACATCTGTAAGTGACGCGCCGCTCAGTTTATAGGTAAGACGAGGGTTACGGTTTCCTATGTGTAATACTGTACATTTTGAAGCATTGAGATTTATAAGCCATTCCTTGGACCAAATAGCTATTTTATTTAGATCATCCTGAAGGCGGTCGTAGTCTATTAGTGGATTTGCAAATATTTTAGTATCATCTGCAAATATGCTGACATTACACTGTAGGCAAAGGGGAAGGTCAAAAGTATAAATAATGTACAATACAGGGCCTAGAACGGAACCCTGTGGCACTCCACTATGTATATCTATGTGATCAGACTTCGTTTCACCAATTCTTACTTGTAGAGTTCTCCCACGCAAAAAAGACTCGATCCAAGCCAGTAGTTTTCCACGTATTCCTACGCATTCCAGTTGCTGGAGGAGTCTTCTCGTAGGGACTTTATCGAAGGCCTTTTCGTAGTCAAGATAAATTATGTCAATAGGCTCTCTCTCATTAAAGTGTTTGGTTCATGATGATAGGCATAATAAAAAATTGGAAATCGTGGAACGATGTGGACAAAAACCATGTTGCTGTTTAGGGATAACTTTGTGGTTGGAGAGGAAGTTTCTAATATGCTTCGCTATAATTTTCTCCATGATCTTGCAGACCACACTGGTCAGACTGATGGGTCTGTAATTGGTTGGTTTCAGTTTGCTACCTTTTTTAAATATGGGTGTCACCAATGCTGTTTTCCATGAGTCCGGTAAGGTGCTTGTCTCGTACGATGTTTGCATTATTGTCGTTAAATAGTGAGATAGGTTGCATTTCTTCAATTTAGTTACTGGTATATCGTCTGGTCCCGGAGATGAATCTGTTTTCATTTCTGAAATGACTCACTCGTTTGACTTGGTCTGGCGTGAACAGAATTTCTTCAATGGAATCCTCTACTCGATGTGTCGGGTCTAATGTAGGCAGTTGGTCATTTGGTTCTGTTTGGAAAACACTCGCGAATTGGTCCGCAAATACCCTGGCAATTTCATGAGGTTGGATCACAGTTTGTCCTTGCTTGCTTAGCAAAATAGTAGGAATGCTTACTATTGATGTTACTTGTTGTCTTAAATAGGAGTAAAACTTTTTTGGTCCTGCCTGCAGTATTTCTTGTTCGTAGCTTGTTCGGGCTTTTCTATTTTCATTTAGTAATTGGTTGTTCGTGCTTCTGTAGTCTCTATAATTTTGTTCTAGTCCAGTCAGCACATATCTGTTCCGTAAGGCTATTTTGTTCTTGATGAGGTTTTTAGTTTTGTTTCTAACCCAGGGCTTGTTTGTGTTGTTTAGACAGATATCCAACCGTGGTACGTACAAATTTATAGCTTCCATCAGTGCCCTATGAAGGGAATTAAATTGTGATTTAACACACTTTTGGTCTGCCATATTTTCGGGTAAAATTGATGACAATTTAGTGTTTATTTTGTCGTAATCGGCTTTGTTAAAATTTAGTCTGGTTTTATGTTGCGTTTGTTGGTTCTGTGTTTGCAACTCTATAGTAGTCAATAAGCAGGTATGATCGCTTTTACCAATAGGGGCCTGGTGATCGATACTGGCTATAAGTGAGTCCTCATTTGTTAATACTAGATCCAAATATGAAGGTTGATTTCCTTGACGATAACTAGTGTATCTATCTACTAACTGTTGGAGGTTACTGTTTCTGTACCATTGTATGAAGTTATTTTCTATTGGTGTAAGATATCCGCTATCTTCTAGTGGCCACTTCACTCCACCATAATTGAAGTCACCCATTATTAACACAGTATTAGACTTCGATACATGATGAAGCTGATTGAGTAAGCTGTTATCTTGGTCTATTGTAGAGTCATGTCTTCTATATAGTCCACATAGTAGGAACTTCTTATTTCCTATTTTAACGTCAAGCCATAAACATTCCGAAGTTTCATATTTTATTGTTGTAAGTGGTGTTGTGTTTTATTGTCAAGACGTCAATTTCTTTTGAGGCATATATTCCGACTCCTCCACTACGTTTGCCTATGCTGTCATCTCGGTATAAGTCATATCCAGGTATTTTTATCATTGATTTCGGTATATTTGGCTTGAGCCATGTCTCAGAAATTATTATCAGCGCTGGATTTAACGTATTGACTCTGGCAATAAGTAGATCCAGTTTAGATGTCACTGATTGTATATTTGTGTATAGTATTGATATTTTTAGAAATTTTGGTATGATCTTAGGGACTATATTATTTGTTTTGTTAGATTGTTGTAGTTCGTTGTTGCTATTAGTGATTAGTTTTTTGTGCATTAGTTTTCACAATTGTTGGATGTCCACGGATATATTTTATAGTGATGTCCGTTTCTCCGCCATTTATGCGTTTATTAAGTTCTTCTCGTAAGTATTCTCTTTGCAAGAAAGTCAGGTCCGAGGAAATGTTCGAGGGCTTACTAAGTTTGTTTCTATGGCGGAGGACTTCAGTGCATCGCTCTTAGTGTGAAGGATAACTTTCAGTAGCCTCGGTTTGGCATCTGCATGTTTGAAATATACATTATGAACCAAACCAAGTTCAAATATATTAACGCGTTTATTTAATTACTAAGAAAATTTAAAAAAAAACGTGCAAAATTAAGCAATTTTATTCTGATCTGACTCTTCCAACATGACAATATCTTTTTCTTACATGGATTTATTCATTGTAGTTAACATATCGTTCATGGGCCTGAAATCAACACAGTTATTGCTATTTCTTTTGATTGATTGCTGGGTGAAAAATATTTCCTTTTATTGTTTTGGTTAAAAGTTTGTTCTTGTTCTTCGTTTTTGTATCATTGACTTGGATGAAAATGATTGAAAATGTACTACACTTACTACACCTACTACAACACTTTACTGTATACAATGGTATTACGGTGACATATGACACGGTAATGCCATATTACCCTGACAGTAGATTAAGACCAAAATACGGTGCATCTACGGTAATTACCCTGTACATGGAGACACTGGTGGAAAAGGTGAAACAAGTGCTCTGATGGTGATCTGATTCTCAAGATAAGGTGTCTGAGTCACCAGAAACAATAAATTATTAAAAAAAAATTATGAAAAGAAAATTATTAGAGTAAGTAATTTGTAAAGTATTTTATCATATTGAATAATAAAACTATTTAACAAATGTTTTGTTTAATTTGTCTTCACCTATTTGTGACTTTCATTATCACGCAGAGAAACTCCGAGCATAGCCCTCTCCATAGCTCGCTGAGCGACCTTGAGCTTCCTCATACGGCCAGCAGTGAAGGACCACGTCTCAGTTCCATAAATCATCACTGGCAACACGCACTGGTTGTACAATTTCGTTTTCAGGTTTTGAGGTATGTCTGACGAGAAGATGTGTCGTAGCTTCCCGAACGCTGCCCAGCCGAGTTGAATCCGTCGATTGACCTCTCGGTCGAAGTTGGACTTACCTAGTCGGACTATTTGTCCCAGGTAAACATACTCGTCAACAACTTCGAGCTTAGTGCTCCCAACAACTACCGGCATAGGTGTGACATGGACATTGAACATGATCTTTGTTTTGTCCATGTTCATCTTAAGACCTATCCGTTGGGAAGCACTATCGAGGTCATTGAGCATAGTGCTTAGGTCCTCCAGCGATTCTGCCATAAGGACTATATCGTCGGCAAATCGAAGGTGAGTGATGTACTCGCCATTGATGTTGATACCGTATCCTTTCCAGTCCAGAAGCTTAAAACTTAAACCGTCTTAAACTTAAAACGTCTTCCAATGCAGCGGTGAAGAGTTTCGGGGATATGACGTCACCCTGTCTTACACCTCTCCGCAATTGGATAGGTTTCGTACTCTGGTTCTGTACTCGGATAGCCATCGTAGCCCTACTGTACAAGCACTTCAACACTTCGATATACCGACAGTCAACTTGGCACCGCTGAAGGGACTGCAGCACCGCCCAAATTTCGACGGAATCAAAGGCTTTCTCATAGTCCACATACGCCAGACATAGTGGCAAATTGTACTCTTCGGACTTCTGTACAATTTGCCGAAGGGTATGTATGTGGTCTATGGTGCTAAAGCCCTTTCGGAAACCGGCTTGTTCGGGAGGCTGGAAGTCGTCAAGTCTGCGCGCGAGACGATTCGTAATGACTCTCGAAAACAGCACGTAGACGCGGCTCAGAAGGGAAATCGGTCGGTAGTTCTTCAAGAGAGCGTTGTCACCTTTCTTGAAGAACAAGACCACCGCACTTCTGCTCCACGCCTCCGGTGTAATGCCACCATGGAGGACGGAATTAAAGAGCTTCTGAAGGACTTCAAGTACCGGTCTTCCACCCGCTTTCAGAAGCTCCGCTGTAATTCCATCCTCGCCTGGGGCCTTACCGTTTTTAAGGTGCTGGAGAGCCATTCTAATCTCGCTTAGACTGACGTCCAGGATATCTTCGGAATAGTGTCGGATGAGACTCGCTCTTGGATCGTTACTCACACTTGCGTGTGGCTCCAACGATGACGTGTACAGCTGCCCATAGAACCTCTCAATCTCACTCAAAATCTCAGGTGTCCCGGAAACGATGCTGCCACATTCTGTCTTCAGCTTTGACAGGTGGCTCTTTCTGGCAGACAGATCTCTGGCAAAGACTTTGGAGCCTTGGTTCCGCTCGATCGCTTCTTCAATACGAGCTGTATTGAAGTTGCGTAAGTCCCGCCGCATGCATTTGGAGATCTGTCTGTTCAGATGCCTGTATGCTGTCAAGTCTGTTGAAGAATGTAGCTTCATCTCCCGTCTAACAGCCATGAGATTAAGAGTGTGATCGGAGAGTTTTTGTGTTCTTCTGCGGCGGGTCTTGCAGAACTTAGCTCCGACCGCATGGACAGTTTCCACGAGCTTGTCATTCATATCGTCTACTTCATTGCAGTCTTCTAGGCACTGAAAACGGTTTTGTAACTCGAGCTGAAAGGTTTCGGGACTTTGGAACAGAGCACGAGGGGGACGGAGCGTTGACTTCATTAGACGAGACCTCTCCAACTTAACGTTTAGGTTCAGTGTGCCTCTAACCATTCGGTGATCGTTACCAGTTTTCACCCTCGCGATCACGGAGACATTACTGAACAGTTGTCGTCTGGTCGTCATAATGAAGTCAATCTCATTTTTTGTCGAACCGTCGGGGCTCGACCAGGTCCACTTCCTGTGGGGCCGCTTCTGGAAGAAAGAGTTCATCATAAAGAGTCCCTCTTTCTCCATGAAGTCGGCCAGCTGCTGGCCCCTTGGGTTCCGTTGCCCTATTCCAAATTTCCCTACTTTCAGCTCACCGTTCTCTCTTGTGCCTAGTTTTGCATTGAAGTCTCCCATTAACACCGTATATTGGGTTTTGGAGGAATGCATGGCTCTAGAGATATCCTCATACATTTCCTCCACCTCCCCATCGCGGTGTGCCGAGGTTGGTGCGTAAACCTGTATGACCTTCAGCGAATACCGTTTGGTGATTCTGAGTATAAGGTACGCAACCCTCGTCGACACACTCCCGATCTTTACAACGTTGTTAACGAGAGACTTGTGGACGATAAATCCGACACCTCCTTGGGACAGATGGTCGCCCTCCCGGTGATAGAGCAAGTTTCCGGATTCGAGGATTACCGTGTCCTCCCCCTCTCTTCGGACTTCGGATAATCCTATAATATGCCAGCGCAACTTGTCTATCTCTTCTTCCAGCTCCACGATCTTCTCGTCAGTCCTCAGGGTGCGTGCGTTGTACGTTGCCAGGTCGAGTCGTCTAATGTGGCAATAAGGGGGTGCTACCCCCTGCCCCGCCGTTACCATGGTCGCCACCGTAGCCAGGAATAGCGGGCCCGCCGGGGACTGGGGGCTATCTCTCGTAACTCCGTAACGTCTCTTCGTAACTTTCATTATGGGGGGTATATTGCCATAGTTGCCACGCTTGGCGAGCGGGTTGGCAACCGCAGTTTTTTTATTTTAATTTTGGCTATTATCAGGAAGATGCTGCTGCCCATCTCCTGCCTGTTTCCCTTTGTCGCCTTTTACGACACCCACGGGAGGATATGGGGTAGTGGTATTCTTGACCGCCACTACACGGCAATCCGCAGTAGAACCAGAGTAACCGACATAGCCCAACGGATTAGTAAGCTGAAGTGGCAGTGGGCCGGCCATATAGCTCGAAGAACCGACAACCGATGGGGAAGAAAGGTTCTCGAGTGGCAGCCTCGTACCGGTAGGCGAAGTGTAGGGCGTCCCCCCACGAGATGGAGTGACGACCTGGTAAAACATGCAGGAAGTCGATGGATGCAGGTGGCTCAGGACCGTGCTTTGTGGCATTCTTTGGGGGAGGCCTATGTTCAGCAGTGGACTTGTGAAGGGCTGTAATGATGATATTTGTGACAACCCTACCAAAATAGGTAACAACTTTGCACGTTCTTAAGAAGCTTTGTCTTTGTTCCGTTTATCTACTCATATGGTTAAAAACCCATAAAATGCAATATTAAGAGCAAAAAGTTAATAAAACCAAATAAGAGTACAATAGTATAAGCACACATCGCTGCGCCACATATAGCGCAGCGATGTGTATATGAGCTCTCGCCCACAGCACAGAATAAATAATTGTACTACGTACAGAAGTTGAACTCTTTTGATGTTGTCTGCTTGCCGACGTTTTAATAGCCTACATAGTTATTATTAATCAGATAAATCGCGCACGCAAATTAAATAAAACTTTATCGCTGCGCGTGAGTGTCCGTATTGCTTTGCATCTTTTCTCCCTACTACGTCACAACGGACTTTCCGTGGTTGCTAAGGGCTGTTAATAAAGAGTAAAAAATACATTGTGAAATGGTATGTTACTTAGGTAAAGTACCTATGCTGACTATAATCGACCATATTATCTACTATGTGAGTTCTGTGATGCCCAACGCATGCAACTTGCAAGGCCATTCGTCGGGAATCGCGATGCTTGGTTTGTATAGGTAGATAGCTTAAACAACAAATAAATCCGAAATACGATTCCTAACAGAAATATGATCGTAATCTACTTAATTGAAAATCTTGTAAACAAAGTTGCAACTTCAGTATTTTGTGCTATTATAACTTAAAATATTTAATTACAAAGACGAGTATAGGTATGTAAGTAGGTACTTGGGTTATGAAGTAAATTTCAGCTAAGTTTTGTAATAAAGTACTTAGGTATTACTTCTGTAGTTAAATTATTACTTAATTATTTTTTCGCTATACCTATCTAACAAAAAAAATGAAATAAATTTACCTTTCATTATCCTTCGGTAACTCAAGAAATGATATATCTGAATCCTTTTGATTGCTCATTAAGCATCCATCCCCGCAACAATTACAGTAGGAACGACGTTTTGCCATTATAATTTATCAAATAGATAGGTAATATACATATTTATTGTTCTTAAATTACATTAAAACTTTTTCAACTATTTTATCCTACAAATAAATATACTAAACACAAAACAAAAACTATTTCGACGAGTATTTACAAAAAATTATTTACGTAAACAGCGTTAAAAATACTTTAACATTCAATCGCCTAGAGCGCGCTAGCTCCGATTGCGATCTACCCCTGGGGCAGCTCGCAAGAGTGACAGAGGCGATGGTCCGTCTGGGTATAAACTACAAACCGGTTTGCGCCACGCCGGCTCAGTCATAGATAAGAGTGTATATACGGACATAGATAAGAATCTCTAACGTAAAAATTTGCTACGACAACAGCGCCACCTGGAAGCTAGTTTATTAACTACTACTACAACTATACATAACGTTCGACGGTGAAGAAAAACACTGTGAGGAAACCTGCATGTCTGAGAATGAGAAACTCACCATCACACATTGGGTCAGCAAAGCGGACATTTCCTTGCCCTAAACCATTCTCAGAAATGAGCGGAGGCTTGTGCCCAGCAGTGGGACATATATAGGCTGTAAATTTAACTTTTAACTTTAATAGTGTATAGTTTCTGAAATTCAAATAAATATATAAATAGTAACAAAGTATTATAGCTGTTATTTAGTTGTATAAGTTATTTATATTGCTACTTTGTTTATTGTAATGTACTGATCATATTAAGTGGGAGGAAATAAAAATTATAATCCTTAAAGGTTTACTTACTATCTTGTGATGGAATATTGCTCCGAATGTTAAAATCCATTTGTAGTGACAAAGGTTGTTGTTCATTTAATCTATGATGTAACCTTTCAGGAAGTTGTTTGTACACACCTAAAAAAGAATTTAATAAATGTTCATAAGAAGAAGCACATAATTAAAAATTTGTGTAACTTAAATATTTGAGTATGATGATGATGATGTTCACATACCTGATAAATTCAGAGAGGGAACTGCTAATTTAGACAGCCTCCTTGTAGTAGGGTATATGAAAACCTCCTCAAAATGGTTATGACATATCCTTCTGTTGTCATAAATGTACAGGTCATCTCTACCAACTATTTCACCTCCAATCTTTATAATCCAAGTACGAAATCTTTCAATTTCTTTTGGATTACTTGGGTTAGGAAATCTATGCAGAGGGACATCTGAAAATAAACAATTAATTTAATTATTTATATAATAAAAGTAATAAGAAATAATTTTATTCACTCAATATCCATACAGCCAAGGAATTATAAGTATACATATATAATTTTATCAAAAAAAAAAACAGATAGCTCTAAATTAGGTGTTAATGATGGTGTCTTTCAGTACAGCGCATTAAATTTGTAGGACTTGTTTACTTTTAAAGAAATTAAATAAAAAAAAAACTTAATAAAAGGGAAAGTACAGTTAAGGATATATTTTTCAATATTAAGTTTGATGTAACAAAAGTATTTTAATATAATAAACCGGGTACATGAGTTTAGCTGGTTACAACTAGGTGCAGCTGATTATGATTGGTTAGTTTTAGGTGTATTCGATTTGTTCATGGTTAAAAGTTCATGTGGGCAGTTGCATTCAGCTGTGACTTCACAATCTACTCTTACATTATCCCATGGGCATTGTAGATCTTAGGTGCTGCAGGATCGTGATGGAGGTTGAAATGAACTTGCGAAATAATGGTTGTACTCAATTTAATAATAATAAGCGAATTTACAAATGGCTGCGCGCGACAATATATGTGCGCATCGACTCACATATAGTGGCAGACTACCGGGGTTCTCACCGACGAGCACGTCAGAGGCTTCGCGTCTTTTAAAACAAATTTATAACTAAAATAGGTATAGGTAAGTACAATCGATACACAGTAAATTTATAGCCTAACATAATTTTAATTACAAATGAGCGCGTCGCTAACATTCCCCACCCCAGTGCTGTCACAGCACTCATCATTCAGTGATATAGGAGCGACGCGTGCCGCGGATCGACGAAACGTCCTCGAGCCAACTTTCACCTCCACTAACCTGATACGGCCATCCTTACCGGGAAACACTTCTGTAATGAGTCCCTGTCCACGCGTTGCGTGGAGAGTTCTGGTCCACAACTAAGACAAGGTCGCCAAATTGTAGCGGCTTCTGCTCCTATTGCCATTTTCTCCTGGGTATAAGTTCAGGTAAAATCTCCTTCACCCACCTGTGCCAGAACATGTCCGCCAATCCCTGACTTATACGCCAATGCCTGCGGAGATACAAGTCAGAACTGTCAAACGCCCCTATCACAGGCAAGTTTGATGATGTACCTAGAAGTAAATGGTTTGGGGTGAGGGTTTCCACTCCATCTGGTGCCACCGAAACGTGCATTAAAGGACGACTGTTAACTATATTTTCAACTTTAACGGTGGTAGAGCCACGCAGCAGTTTTTGCTGTTGCACGTATGGGCCGGCTCGAGCCGGTTTAGTACCACGACCTCACAGAATACCGGCGTGAAGTGGAAGCTCTGCTTCCGCGTTTCGTCTGGTGAGTGCAGGTGACCGGAGGCCCAATTCCCCCCCCCCCCCATCAACATGGTAGCGGAATTACGTCATAAACTACCCCAGGAGGGTACCAGTACCCCTGGAGAATCCCTCGCTGAGCATCCACGACCATGTTATTCCACTCCTGAGCGTGGGTGCTCAGGCTGCCCCGCGTATTCTGGAGGGGGGGGGGGCAAAATTCCGCTCAACACAATAACTGCTCGGAGCAAACTGAGCAACAAGACCAAGGCGACCCCTGCCACGCTATCCGTGAATTTCTGCAACATCAGGGGACTTCACTCGAACCTAAACGCCGTCCACTACCATCTTGAGACGGCGAAGCCGGCCTTGCTCTTTCTGACCGAGACGTAGGTGTCCTCTCCGGCTGATACTTCGTATCTCTCCTACCCGGGGTACAAATTGGAGCACTCCTTTGTGCCTCGGGCTGGAGTTTGCGTGTATGTCAGAGAGGACATCTGTTCTCGACGCCTCGGCAGTCTTGAAGGTTCAGACCTGTCCATCCTTTGGCTACGCGTAGACAGCGACGACCATCCGCGCGTCTACGTGTGCCGCTATAGGTCCCATAGCGGTAATGCCGAAACAGACCGACTCATTGACCACGTCCAAATGGCTACCGATTCCTTGCTACAACAGGTCCCATCCGCAGAGATCGTGATCCTTGGCGATTTTAACGCCCACCACGCCGAAAGTCTCGGTTCACGTTTAACCGATCATGCGGGGAGATCTGTTTATGACTTTGCCTTGGCATATGGTCTGACATAACTGGTTACATCGCCTACGCGGATTCCAGATGTTGAGGATCATACACCTTCCCTGTTGGACCTTCTGCTGACCTCTCATCCGGACGGATATCAGGTTTCCGTCGATGCCCCTCTTGGCTCTTCGGATCATTGTCTGATCCGGAGTGTGGTGCCACTCACGCTCCCCTCGCGGTTGCGTTCTGCAGGTTGCCGCCGTGTTTGGCATTACAGGTCGGCGGATTGGGACGGAATGGGGTCTTTCTTTGCTTCCTACCCATGGGGGCGGGTTTGCTTCTCGCCGGATGATCCCAGCGCTGTTGCTGACTCTGTCACTGATGTGGTGCTACAGGGAATGGAACTATTTATTCCATCATCTGTGGTACCCATCGGAGGCAGATCTCAGCCTTGGTTTGGTCGCTCCTGTAAGACTGCTTTACGCAGTAAACAGGAGTGTTATCAAGCCTGGGCTGCGGCTTCGGTGACTCGGGATGTAAGCACCAGCATACTTAAAAAGAAGTATAACTTCGCCTCCAGGTCCTTCAAAAGAGTTATTGCCAAGGCAAAGTCAGAGCACATAGGCAGAATTGGCGAGAAACTAGTTCGCCTTCCTTCGGGAACCCGTGCATTCTGGTCTCTCGCCAAGGCTGTCCAAGGGAATTTCTGTAAGCCATCACTACCATCTCTGCACAGGGAGGACGACTCACTGGCCCACGACGCAAAAGAGAAGGCCGACCTTTTAGGCTCTCTTTTTGCGTCCAACTCTACTGTTGATGACGGGGGGAACACACCGCCGACCATCCCGCGGTGTGAGTGCTCTATGCCGGATGTGCGGTTCTCACAGCGCTCGGTTCGCAGAGCAACTCCTCTCCCTTGACATCCACAAGTCGAGTGGGCCTAACGGAATCCCCCCAATTGTGCTGAGGACGTGTGCTCCGGAGTTGGCACCGGTTCTAACGCGTCTTTTCCGGTACTCTTACTCCCTAGGCGTAGTCCCGAAATCATGGAAGACAGCTTTTGTCCACCCGATCCCTAAAAAAGGCGACCGCTCAGACCCGTCCAACTACAGGCTATCGCCATCACCCCCTTGTTCTCCAAAATAATGGAATCCGTTATAAACTGCCACCTCATGCGGTACCTTGAGGATCACCAGCTGATTAGTGACCACCAGTACGGTTTTCGTCGGGGTCGATCAGCTGGTGATCGTCTGGTCTACTTAACTCATAGATGGGCGGAGGTAGTAGAGTCCAAGGGGGAGGCATTGGCCGTTAGTTTGGACATTGCGAAGGCCTTCGATCGGGTTTGGCACAAAGCGCTTCTTTCGAAGCTCCCTTCCTATGGGCTTCCCGAGAAATTATGCAATTGGATCAGCAGCTTTCTTGCAGATCGGAGCATCAAGGTCGTTGTAGACGGTGCATGCTCCGTCTACAAGCCTATTAACGCTGGTGTTCCACAAGGCTGCGTGCTATCACCAACGCTGTTTCTTCTGCATATCAATGATATGTTGCAAGCCGGTAGCATTCATTGCTATGCGGATGACAGCACTGGTGATGCTCTATACACCGGCCGTGCCAATATTTCTCGGGAAAACGTCACCGAGTACCGGAACAAACTTGTGTCTGAAGTCGAGTCTTTGCTGGACAAAGTCTCGGATTGGGGGTGACTAAATGTAGTCCAATTTAATCCTCAGAAGACACACGTTTGCGCGTTTACCGCTAAAAAGAACCCCTTTGTCGTATCTCCTCAGTTTCAAGATACTCCCCTTGTTGCCTCAGCCAGTATCAGAATCCTCGGCGTCGACATATCGAGTAGCGTGCAGTTTCGTGGTCACTTGGAAGAGAAGGCCAAATTGGCCTCTAAAAAGCTTGGCGTGCTCAGCAGAGCGGGACAGTATTTCATGCCGGCACACCGCCTGCAACTTTACAAGGCGCAGGGTCGGCCTCACATGGAATACTGTTCCCATCTCTGGGCTGGGGCTCCCCAGTGCCAGCTCCTTCCACTTGACCGCATCCAGCGCAGAGCGGCTCGAATCGTCGACGACCGAGTCCTTTCCGATCGGCTCGACTCATTGGCACTTCGAAGAGATGTTGCATCTCTTAGCATTTTCTTTCGCATTTACCATGGGGAGTACTCTGAGGAATTGTTCGGATTAATCCCAGCCGCCAAATTTCACGAACGCACATCGCGGCAGAACTCCCGATACCATCCACACCATCTGGATGATTGGCGGTCCACCACTGTGCGATTTAGAAGATGTTTTCTTCCTCGCACAACTTCATTGTGGAATAGTTTACCACCGACCGATACGACTTAGGGACCTTCAAGAAAAGAGCCTACTCCTTTTTAAAAGGCCGGCAACGCATCTGCAATTCCCCTGGTGTTGCGGTTGTTCATGGGCGGCGGTAGTCACTTACCATCAGGTGAGCCGCATGCTCGTTTGCCCCCTCTCCTATAAAAAAAAAAAAACTTCAGTTAGTAGTGTGCATAACGCCTCGTCTCTCGGTGCCCGTTCAGTTAAGACAGTTTTAAGCGATGTCTTAACGCTGCATATCATCCACTCCCACGCCCCACCCCAATAGGGACTGGCGGGGGGGGGGGGGGGGGGAATGAAAGTCCAATCCATCCCGTTGTTGACACCTACGCTACGTAGGTATTCCTGGTCAAGGTCCTGCATAGGCCGTTGGAGTTCCTTGTCTGCGCCTCTGAAATTGGTACCATTGTCAGAGTACAAGTGACGCGGCCAACCACGCTTCGCTGCCATCCGACGCAGTGCCATGATTAGAGAATCTGTCGTAAGGAAGGCAACGGTCTCAATGTGGATTGCGCGCAACGTTAAGCACGTGAAAAGGACACCGTACCTTTTTTCCCTGCGTCTACCTATTGTGACCTCCA